TGCATCTTCTCCTTACAAACAGGATGGGAGATGAAAATGGAGAAAATTGAATTGTCCTGGGTTATGAAAGAGAAGAGTCAAATTTGAAGCATTAACAACATGACCTTGATCCAAAGAGAATCAAAGTGAAATTGATCAATAAATATCCTTAAATGGCCGTTAGTCATTTTACTGAGAAATATTTCATTGACGGCATGTTTTACAATCGACAGAAGAGCCCGTTTTAAATATTGTTTTCGAAATGACCGCATTAAAATGGCATGCCATCTCGTTATGAGGACTCATAAAGTCGAGGACACTTCAGAGTCAATAGATCAGACAAAGCAATAAAGAATTCAGTCAAATAGAAAATGGAAAGCTTTCTGATTCTAAGTGGGGAAACCTAAAGAAAAATAGTGGCTCAAATCTGTCAATCCATCCATCATCTGATCCGCTTATCCTAATGACGGTTGCAGGCATGCTGGAGCCTATCCAAGCTGTCTTCAGGGGTACACCCTGAATTGACGGCCAGCCAATCGCAGAGCACACAGACACAAACAATCGTTCGTGCTCACATTCACACCCCAAGGACAATTTAGAGCGTTCAATCAACCTACTACCTATGTTTTTCGAATGTGGAAGGGAACCTGAGTCCCCGGAGGAAAAAAAAACCCACAGGCACGCAGGGAATATGCAAGCTCCACACAGGAAGTGCATTTTGAATCCATCCATTCGAAATACTGTTTATCCAGTTCAGGCTCATAGGAGACTGGAGTCTAACGGACTTTGAATGTGAGACAGAGTCACATCCTGGGTCACTATTCAAAAACAGAATTGATACAGGAAGACACACAAAACCATTGACACTCACATTCACACCAGGACGGTCGTTTAGTGTCTTCAATTCAAATGTCAGTGGCCAGATAAGACGTTCACGTGTGAAGCGACCAGAGTAAATTATAGCTTATTACTATCCACCCCTGAATGAAGTTGTACTGCATTGTTTTATAATTTTGTAAACCTCTCGATTTTTCTGAAGCTTTAAATAAAGTGATTTACTACAACCGGTAATTCCAGTTTCCAGCAAGGAAAACTATTAAAGGTGTCAAGAGAGGCAAGGATGGATGATAAAACCACTCACCTCTGCCCAAGAAGTGTAGAATAAGTGCTTGAGCCAACATCATCTGTCCAGCCCGCAGCATGCAACCCCAGCCACAGTCAGACGTTAGAACAGAGCCAGGCAGAGGTGAAAGCTCTTCTCGATATGTTAGCCATATACGAGATCCAAAATCCTTCCGGAAATCCTCTATATTTCCCATGACAGAGTCCTTATCCGATGCTTCCAAGCAGGCTTCTGAAACATTGTCATCATCTGGGGAAAACAAGGTTAAGTCTGGTAACCACACCCTCTGTTACATAGAATTATCTGCTGAATTTAACTGTAGGACCATCCATCCATTCATCTTCCAATCCGCTTATCCTCACCAGGGTTACGGGCATGCTGGAGCCTATCCCAGTTATCTTCGGGCACTAGCCGGGGTACACCCTGAACTGGTTGTCAGCCAATTGCAGGGCACACAGAGACGAACGACCATCCACGCTCGCAATCACACCTTGGGGCAATTTTGAGTGTTCAATCAATCTACGATGGATATTTTTGAAGTTTAGGAGGAAACCAGAGTACCTGGAGAAAAGCCACACAGGCACGAGGAAGAACATGCAAACTCCACACAAGAAGGCCGGGGCCTGGAATCGAAACCGGCCCCTCTGCACTGTGAGGCGGACGTGCTAACCAGTCGCCCACCGTGCCACCTGCACCGCTTATCCTGAACAGGGTCACAGGGGGTGCTGGAGCCTATCCCAGATGGCTCGAGGGAAAGGACAGACTACACCCTCTTGTCAGGCACAGGACATAGATACGAACAACCATTCACACCCACATCGTCACCGAGTGGGAAATGATCCCACGACTGTGAAACCAATTAACGTTTATTATTATGTATAATAATTATTATTAAGTGCAAACAGAGAACACATTGCAGTAACCCTTTATCTTACTGAACAGAACATCACTTCATAATAATCAGAGCTGTGTCGAAAAATGTTTTTAAGTGTGGTGCGTGTCAATGCAGTACAACTGTACACCATTGAAAATTACAACCATAAACCACAAAACTAGATAAGACAATTTCTGGAGAAATTGCATGTGAATGCTATGGCAAAAAAAAAAAAAAAAATCTATATCTATATCTATCTATCTATCTATCTATATATATATATATATATTGGGGAAAAATATATATATACACACACACACACACACACACACACACACAATCTATTGTGCTATAAAAATGTCGTATGGTGTCGTCAAGTTTTGCCATAATTTATATGCCACTCCTAACAATCTCAGGTTTCATATACTTCCTATGAAAGAGAGAGGGATAAAAAGCCAACCCGTGTATTGTCCAACGGTGTGCAACCGGTCCATTACGGTGGCATAATGTACAAAAACTGAGAGAGATTCACACCGAAATTTATGTGGACTTTTCGGCACGCATTGATATTTATTTATTTCATGATCATAACTTGAAAATAAAATCAAACCTTTGGATGATATTAACATTGTAAGCCTTGCCTCATTCATCTGCATATTATTTTGATTCTTAATCATCTTAAAACTAGTTTTCTTGCATTCATAATGTTTATACACACTACCAAATAGAATGCAGAAAAATGAATTTTTAATCGCGTATTGCTTTAAGATACTATGATACTCATTATATTGCTGCTGTCGTTCCATCCCTATTTATTGCCCCCCCCCCCCTGCCAAAGCCCTGATTAAGAATTGTGGCCCTCTCCATCATTTAAGATGCCCATCCCTGATCTGAAGGTTCTACACACTTGACCTGCAACCATTGATCCTACGCGCAGTAGAAGTTGCTACAATGTCCAATGGCAGGCCATCTGAGGACATTCTCAGTTGCTGCAATGTGCTGTGGCAAATGATATGAGGACATTCTAGATTTAGCTATGAAGAACACTCATCCACAGATGTTGAAATAACAAAGAAACATTCACATCTGGTGCCAACCCTACAAAGCAAGAATGGCAAACTAGAGAAGAAAAATGTTCAGAAGCTGTGCAACATACCTTCAGCCTTAAAATGATAACACTTTCCCAGAAGAAGCACAGGGGAATTTCGGCTGAACGAGGTCTTTGACTTCAGAGCCCAACCTACAATATATATTTAAAAAATAGACATTGAGTCACAATGTAGTATTTTTCAGTCGGGGTGAAAATGTTCTCACATTTCTAACAGTAGACACGAGTCTAGTGTCACACTTACAGTTTGGATCAGTGTCGAAATTACGTAACTGCAGAACACTAGTCTGTTTGTCTCTACTTCCAGTTATTTAAAAAAAACACTATTGAACCACTGCATATACAGTGACAGCAAAGATTTAATCAGTCAAGAAAATATGCCGTCACAGGGCAAATCAGTTTCAGCTCATTAGAATGTAACTTTTTTCATGTTAAATAAGCCACACTGTTCCGATACAAGAGCTGTAGCTTCTGAGAAAATCTCATAAATTTTGATGAAACAGTCAGTTTTGTTCTGCGTGTTCGTGCGTGTGTGTGCTTTGGCCGCAAACTCACTTACTGTATTTCACATTGTGCCACATAGACAAGAACTTCGTCTTCATTTTATCCACCTCGTCGCGCTCTTTATTCTCCATTTGGACCATAGAGGCATGTAACCCATTACAACATCTCAGATAGACCGTGTTTAATGTGTGAAAGTGTTTCGATCCAACGATACAAACTTGTACTACCCTAACTCACACGTTTACACTGAGAAATTACCTTAATTCCTTGAAGGCATGTTTTTACTCAAAAGCTGCTCGTGTAAAGCCACACACATTCTGGCGACTAAATGATGAAGGAGGAATTTATGTCTTCATTACTTGCAGTGAAGCGCATCGATTGCCAAACGACAATGTTTATGTTTTGAGGAAGTAGTGCAGGCAGACATCTGATCTCGCGATGTTTCAAACAAACAAAAGCCAACGGCAGTCTGTGGAGGCTCGATTATAAGTACCGCTTCGACCGGTAGGCGGTGCTTAAACTCAACAGAATCAAATTCTTCTAAAGCACTTGTTTTTGCCATTTTTTGCAACAAAACAATGTGTTTAAAGTCAACGCATCAATAAAAATCTCACCACGTTACACTGACAGTTGTAACGCCTTCCTCACTGCTTTGCTGCCGGTTGATTTTCGTTTCAATGCAGATCCAGTAGCTCTCAAGTTGGTAGCCCATAACAAGATCGTGTTTCGAGCTGGTACGGGATCATGTCTACCAAGATTGAAGTGCAAACGGAACGACTGTTGTGTTGCAGTTACAGATTCGTTTGTTTGGCTAAACGTTTCCACAAGGAAGGCGCAATGCTCACCAGTCCAATTAATGGTAGCAACTGAAAAAGAAATGAAAAACAATGGCATTGTAAAGAAACAAAGCAAAATGACATTACATGAAAAAAAAATGCATTTTATGTACTTTTCGAAAATAAAAACACTTTTATTGTTTCTTTACTTTATTTGCCTTTTATTTAACCTACAGATGTGTCAGACCATTTTGCCTGACACTGTAGTTTAGTCTTTGCTCGGTCACCATATCTCATGATAAATTGTATAAATTGCATAACAACGTCATAAGTCAATACTAAGAATAATATGCACTTCTCATTGAAATATATTCCCATCTTGATCTTTTTTTAATTCATATTTCACTTTGAAACTCATTTTACATACATCTAAACGTTGATAGTAGACATTTAAATACACTACAGATGTAATGTCTTACAATTGAATGAAAAACTGTGTAATGATTAAAATTTTTGCATAAGAGAAAGTATATTGAGGTTTTTTTTCCGTCCAGAAGAAATGCCAGACTTTCAAAATACAAAGCGCACGTCAACATATCTGAAATTTGGAAAATAAGATATTTTCCAGCGTGGAGCAAAATTATTCTCTTCAGAAATACATTTGAACAAAAAGTCGAGCAAGCCAGTTATTTTTGCGTGGGTGTGTTCTTTTGCACACAATTACAACCATTACGGTAAGACGTGAAGCTCCCATTCTCTAGTTTTCCCGTTTTCCCGGTGGCCGTAGAGTGAGTGGAATTCGCTGGTTGCCTGTCTGGGAATTTCGTTCAAGCACATCGAGCGGCCACTGCCATGGCTGAACGCCGCGCCTTCGCCCAGAAGATAAGCAGGTAAAAGACGTGTCCTAAACGGACTCTTTCAAGACAAACCTAACAGTTTGAAGATTTCAAGAGTCACCTACAGACCACCGCCGAGGCAACCCAATGGAAAGAGGCCCAGACGGCAGCATAGCCCCGCCGCTCCTCGCTAGCTTGTTAGCCGTATCGTCAAAGATGCTCAGACCCACCCAGAGAGACGGCCGAATGAATTCTTTAAAAAAAGAGAGACACGGGGCGCACTCAAGCGAATGCAAAGTGATCGAACACATGGTATGCTTGACAGTGCCTTACGCGATCTGCGATATATGACATTTAACACGAAAACCGTTAGTTTGAACAGCTAGCTGTCTTGTAGCTTACATTGATGCAGCTTGACACTGTTGTCATTGCTACAAATGTGACTGCTCTCATCAAACATACTGTGAGGAGGACACGCGGCAAATAGATGCGATACAGGAGGTGTAGGGATACATCTCTACACAATAGCAAACGATTTCATCCCCGCCCCTCAAATTGATCGGAATAATCTCTTTAACAAAAGGCTCTCTGCTGTCTGATTCCACCACCCCAAATGGCCTATCTATCTGTCTATCTAGAATTCTACAAGCATGATGCAGAATCCCTGTCTGTCAATTCTCTATTCAAAACTTAATGCAATGAAAAGGTATTGGACAATATGAACTGTTTGGACGATGTCTCCATTTATCATTTTTGTCTTTGGTGATTATTTTATTTGATAGTTTGTGACTGTTTGGTTTTGAGAGTGAATCTGGGTTTCTGGATCACTACTAATTGAATGACAAAATTGTTCTATCGGAGGAGAGAGTCGGGGAAAGAAAATAGTCACAGAAATAATGGAGTTGTTCTTCTGTGTTGTCATGTTATTATTATCAAAATCTGGTTATGATATCTAATATGCCATGGATTATTAGACAGCTGCCTGTCATGGGAGACACGGCTTTAATTAGTTGAACTGTAGGTTAAAAGGCTCCTTTTGAAACTGAGATTGATTGTTTGATTGATTGCATATACTGTCATGAGTTCTGGTTCAACAAAATATAATAAACATGTTTTGGCTTCGTTGTTCTATAGAGTGTTGTCGTTTGATTGAAGTGTACATACAATATAGTTATGCAGTAATTTACATTCTGTACTTTCACCACACACCAGCTATTTGTCCCCCAAGTGTTATCCAAATATGTACTTTTAATACCTTGTACAGAGCAGTTGGATGTAAATATGAATTTCTGAGTAATGTGTCTCCGCTGGTCACAGTAAACATACACTTTGCTGGAGGAGGATAATCATTTGGAGCAGCACGCATGCAACAATAGGTCTGTATTATGGCATCTGTGAATTTACATATGGAATTTTATGTCTCCAAAATGCATCATCATAAATAAATTACCAAAACATTATTATTATTTTTCTGGTTCAAAACTGCCCTGAAACATAACACCTAAAGAATTATATTTGACCTCAACAAGTCTGGGTTCCTGTGTGGTAAATATAAATAGAATATCTGTAAGCCCAGAATGGTTTATACCCTGAGGGAACGGTCATTGGATCAATCCAAAGTTGTGGTGAAGTTTGATACATTGTAACAACGCTTCGCTTTCATAATGCTAGTGGCATCACTTGGAATGACAATGTCTCCATTCATTAGGCAGTAGGGAAGGTTCGGTAGCAGGAGGTGTGGCGGGGTGTAAATGATTCTTTGACTTGCACAAGTCCAAGATCTCATTAACTTTAAATAACCTTCCATTTGTATGCATAACGTTCAGTTGAGTTTTGGAATCAGAAGACAGTAAAAGTCTATTTTAAATGGATTGGTAACAAAAAATGCTTGCAATAACTCATATCACAATGCTTTTAACAGTGAAGAAAATTTGCAAGAAACATGATTTGCCTTCGGGGGGCAGATGATGTGGTGGGCCGGATCTCGCCTCAGAGCCTTGAGTTTGACACCCGTGATTTACAGGAACCAAACGTGCTGAAATACATTTGATACATAAAATAATTTTGTGGCATTTTTCCATATCATCTCATAAAATTGGTAATTGGATAGAAACCTTGATCAACCGAAGCTTCTTTTCATGTTTTAAAAAAAATATGAGGTATACAGTACATGTAGTTGAAACATCACACCACATAGGAGCGGGTTCTTTAAAGTACCTATGGCAATAAAGTCAGACACAGTTGGCATCTTTCAACTTTCAACTCAGTTTCATTCTAACTTGCATGTTTAAAGGAGGTTTAGCATAAATTTACAGCTTGCGATTAACAACCCTCAAATATTGCGTTTGGTCCCAGAGTGAATAAACACATTTTGGGTATGGTTCCAGATTTTGTGGTCCGGAGGTATGATTGCACACGTACATGTACTGTTTGTCTGTAAATTGTCAATTTTGCTCCTTTTATTTATTTTTTTCCAGTTGCTGAATTTATGTTTCTGTTGGTTATTTATTGAAAGTGTCACTTTTAGTTTACATTCTCTTTGTACTTTGAGTTGGAATCACGTTTGTTTACTGCAGGCGAATACTCATGTGTTCATATGACTAGGTTGAGTTGCACGGAATAAACCGATGAAATATGTTCTCATGGTTTACTCTGACATGCTCGTCTTTGTCAAACTATGGTATAGATGGGTTGAGTGAGTCAATGCTGCTTAAAATAGCTCGCTCCAGATGTTTTTTTTTTTTGTTTTGTTTTTCTCACGACTTCTACAGTATGTACTTGTCAGGAACCAATCACTGTTGAGGTGGTTGGACAGATCAAAATAATAATGGTACTATAAATATAAATGACCAACCTAAGTATACTGGAAACCCAGACCCTGAGTTGTGTTTTGGCTTCTTCACAACTTATCGGGACACATGGAGGGATAGTTAGCAATTACGAGTGCCTGAGCAGAGGTACTATCTCCCTTCAGCAGCGTAACAGTTTTGGAGTCAACAAGAACATATTAAAGACATAACTCTTAATATTGACTGACTGTAATTGATCAAGCTTCTTTTCTTTGCAGGACTGTGGCAGCAGGGTATGATTGCACACGTACATGTACTGTTTGTCTGTAAATTGTCAATTTTGCTCCTTTTATTTATTTTTTTCCAGTTGCTGAATTTATGTTTCTGTTGGTTATTTATTGAAAGTGTCACTTTTAGTTTACATTCTCTTTGTACTTTGAGTTGGAATCACGTTTGTTTACTGCAGGCGAATACTCATGTGTTCATATGACTAGGTTGAGTTGCACGGAATAAACCGATGAAATATGTTCTCATGGTTTACTCTGACATGCTCGTCTTTGTCAAACTATGGTATAGATGGGTTGAGTGAGTCAATGCTGCTTAAAATAGCTCGCTCCAGATGTTTTTTTTTTTTGTTTTGTTTTTCTCACGACTTCTACAGTATGTACTTGTCAGGAACCAATCACTGTTGAGGTGGTTGGACAGATCAAAATAATAATGGTACTATAAATATAAATGACCAACCTAAGTATACTGGAAACCCAGACCCTGAGTTGTGTTTTGGCTTCTTCACAACTTATCGGGACACATGGAGGGATAGTTAGCAATTACGAGTGCCTGAGCAGAGGTACTATCTCCCTTCAGCAGCGTAACAGTTTTGGAGTCAACAAGAACATATTAAAGACATAACTCTTAATATTGACTGACTGTAATTGATCAAGCTTCTTTTCTTTGCAGGACTGTGGCAGCAGAGGTCAGGAAGCAAATAGCGGGTCAGTATGGGGGCTCACCGCAACTCTTCAAGAACCTCAATGCTGGGACCTTAACAAGTAACACAGTGCGTAAGCTTAACTTCTTTCAAAAAAACCAAACAAAAACCATACAAAAAAAAAAACCACCCATTACTTAGAGGCATTATCTGCTGCTGATTTGCTGTTGAAACCAAATTCTTTGTCACCAGCCCGAATGCTCGTGTGTAAGTTCTTGAGTTGTGTTGTTTTAGTTTTAAAAATTGGTTAGCTGAAAAGACTGCTGTTTTGCTAATTTAGATCTTCAATGCACACGTTCGTTATTTGTAATGTGGAAACACTTGGGGAGAAATGTGTGAATGGGGCTATGCTTTGGTCAGTGATATGATTTATGGCTCCACTCAATGTACTTTCAATTGCTGAATGTGTGCAGTAACTCTGAAACATGGAAATATTTGATAGCTGTCTTCCCATCTATAATTATATGAATTCCAAGTTAATTTATTCATTATCGACATCTGATATGCATAGACGTTTCTTCTTCTATTTTTCCACATCCAAGGTATAGTTTGTGGCAAGATATCTTAGCTTACACAAATCCAATTTTAATGAAGTTGGGAAATTGTGTTCAACATGCTTGTGAATGACTGAGCAATTTAGGGAAGCTCTTTTTATACCTAATCATGGCACCCACCTGTTTCCAGGTTGCCTGCTCACCTTTGGGATGTGTAACAAGTGTTTGATGAGCATTCCTCAACTTTTTTGCAACCTGCCCCAGAATTTTTGAAACTTGTTGCAGCCATGAAATTCTAAGTTGATTACAGTGAAACTCCTCTACAACGAAATCATGTTTGCAGCAAGAAATTTTTCACAACAGGGGGTTTTTCACTGTAGCAAATTTGATCTCAGATGTAAGCACACACACACCCACACACACAAACGTATGTGTACACGCACACACAAACGTTTGTGTACTCTATTTTTATTCCAATAGTACATAAGTATGAGCACACACTTATTTGACACTTCATATTGTCAGTATAGAAAGAAAAAAAGGGAAAGAAATTGCAAAATTTACGATCAGCATTCACTTTCACTTACATCAATTTCTTGGAAAATGTCTTTTATTTTGCTTGCTCCGTCTTTCATTTTGATCACTTTTACCCTCTCTTCCAGCATCAGAGCTCTTCTTGTCTTAGCTGCTTGACATCAAAAGGTCCGTTTTGTAGCCATTTTAGCAATGCAACGTCCATCCTCGTCTGAATCTAACAATAACAAATACTTCCTGGCATGCAATGAACTTTTAAGCCAGCCACGGGACGCTTCGTAGTCCTCGATGGCCATAGTTAGCTCTCGAAGGCTAAAAACCTTACGCTAACTGGAGCGCTAATGAGAGAGAAGCGCTCCAGTTAGCGTAAGGTTTTTAGCCTTCGAGAGCTAACTATGGCCATCGAGGACTACGAAGCGTCCCGTGGGTGTTTTTAGCATGATAAAAAGTAAAGTAAATGTCCGTCGAGCCATAAGCAATTTACTCTGAGCAGCTAATCGGATGCTACGGATCTAGCTTCAGTATCTACACACATAGACAGTGAGGTCTATGTGGCCTCTTGGCCAATCGGAGGCCAGGATGATGCTCGGTAAGCCAATAGCAGAGCAGCTATGAGTATGTTGAGCCCAGGAAACTCGCAGCTGTGACCGAAATAAACATCGTTCACTATGTAAACCAGTGTGGTGGTTGCTGTTGCCTTTTTTCGAACGAAGGAGTAGAGGTCGCTGTTGGATAAGACTTCGTTGTAGTGAATGTCTTCGCGAGGCTGGAGCAGACAAAATGATTTCGTATAACGCAACAGGGGGTTTTTCGTCGTATGGGGGGCAGGAGAATGGGAATTGTGTTAATGCATGAAGATTTTTTCACATAAGGGGGTATTTTCGCCCATGCAGGTTTCGTTCTAGAGGAGTTTCACTGTATATGCTCAAAATAACAGTTAATCAGTTTGAGCATTAAATATCTTTGCAGTGTTTTCAGTTAAATCTAGGTTGAACATGATTCGAAAATCATTGTATTTTGTTCTTACTTATGTGTAACACAATGTCCCAACTTCATTGGAATTGGGTTTGTATTTAAAATGTGATTGTTTAAGCAAAACTATGTGAGAAACTCACAGGCCCTCACAGTCTCACTCACAAGATGGAAACAGATGGTTTATTCAATTTAGCAGGCACTGTTTATTTTCCAGTTTGGAAGTAAATACTGTATGGCCAATAAAAGCAATGGGCAGCTTTTCTTTTTAATCTTTATATATATTTTTTAACTTTATCTTTTTTTTTTTTTTTTTTTTAAATATGATGTGAGGCTCCAACACACATGTGCCCCTCTTGAGTATGAGCGGTTCAGAGAATGGATGGGTGGCTGTTATGTAGGTAACGATCAATTCGAATACTGTAGTTAAGTATAGTTTAATACCTTAAGAATAGAACAGAACACAACACATGGAGAAGTTTGTTTCAGGATCACATTGAACTAAAAGAAATATGATGTAAATGTAGTATTGCCAGTACATCAAATTTACCTGCAACAAAGATTAACGCAAATGTGAAGTGAAACATGGACTGCAAACAATAAAACAAAACAAAAAAAGGTTGTCATTTCAGAATCGAGCTAACTTTCTAATTTTGACATACTATTTTATCTTGACATGTCTTCACAGGGGGAAAAAAACAAAATCAACATTTTTGAACAGGAGCCTGTACTGGAATTTCCAGATCATATTTCTTAAAGCACAGAAGAAAAGATAGCGGAGATTATTTTTCTCTCTTGGAATTTTTTGCCTGGGATTCTTTCATGAGCATTCACAATAAAAAAGGGACCTCAAATATTGCTGTTCACGAAACTCAACTTGTAATGTGATGTATGGTTGACTATCCTCAACTAATTGATTGCTTGTTTCCCTTTGGTCACTCTCCAGGTTCCACTTACAGAGGCAGTCGAGCCAGTGGATTTCGAAGAGTACCTCATCACTCACCCTCCAATTGTGGAGTCAGGACCCCTTAGAGATTTGATAGAGTTTCCCCCAGATGACATAGAGGTCATCTACACACCCAGGGAATGTCGAACAGTAGTACAAGCCATCCCAGAGGAAGGGTAAGGTTTTCCCAATGAACTGGACATTATACAAAAAAAAACAAAAACAAAGGCCCCCTTGAACTTTTTGACCTTTTTCGCGTTTCAGGCTTCAAACATAAAGATATACAATTGTTTTTTTTTTTTTTGTGAAGAATCAACACAATTTTGAAGTGGTATGATATTTTACACTTTTTTTTTTTTTTAAGAAATAAAAAAACTGAAAAGTGGGGCGTGCGATAATACTGTCAGTGCAGCCAACTCACTCCAGAAGTTCCCAGAAATTTTCTGAATGATCCAATGATGACCTAAAAAACTGATGATAAATAGAGTCCACCTGTATGTAATAATCAATACCAAGGCAGCACACCAGGCAGGTCCTGGATAAATTTGTGGAGAAGTTTAAAGCAGGAGAGTCATCACTCTCAGTATAAATGCACCTGCTCTGTGATCGACTCAGCAGTCTGCTTAAAACGCAAATAGCATCATGAAGTCCGTGGAATACACAGGCCCGAGATACTTTTGTGGAAAAGTTTAAAACAGGATTAGGATTTATAAAAATTTCATGAGCTTGAAACATCTCTGAGCACTGTTCAAGCAATCTGTTGAAATGGAAACCGTATCAGATCACTGCAAACTGGTGCTGGGTAATATGGAAAAAAATCTTCTATCACGATGTTGGCCATTTTATATCACTATAACAATACACCATAAACAACAGAACACACAACAACTTATTGCATTCATAAATGACAATGTTTATATTTAAAATTATGTACTGTACTGTATTTGGTTGCTTGCAGGGACACTGACCCTCATGTGAGAGACTGTGTCAGATCTTACACAGAGGACTGGGCAATAGTCAACAGAAAGTAAGACTTTTTTCTGTAAAAGTATGCATTTGATTTCAAATAAACACTGGACACGAATCAAGTCATTCCAAATATTTTTGAACTAAATGTCAAATTGCTTTCAGATACCACAAACTTGGCACAGGTTTTAACCCTAATTCGTTGGATAAGCAGAAGGAGCGCCAGAAGGGGTTGCCCAAACAAGTGTTTGAGGCTGATGAATTACCGGACAGCAGTGGCTACCAGGATGACCAGGTAGGTATCAATATGGGCCTTAACGTTGTAGTTTATTTCAAGTTCCAGTTCTACAAATTGTGGTTTCTTGCAAGATTTGAAGTGCAGGATCTGTGGGCATTACTCTCACCCACAAACTGTACCTGTGACATTAGCATTCATAAATAGTCTTTGTTTTGTAGGATGACCTTAAACGACGGTCGATGTCCATTGATGACACCCCTCGGGGTAGCTGGGCTTGCAGCATCTTTGACTTGAAGAATTCCCTCCCGGACTCTCTCCTCCCACATCTCCTTGATCGTGCCCCCAATGAAGAGATTGACAGACACAATGAAGATCAACGCAAGACCAACCGCCATCGGGAACTCTTTGCTCTGCATCCAGCCCTTGATGAGGTCTCGCATAACATACCTCCTCACAGTAGCATCTCTCCTTCAAAGCATTATTTTATCATGAATACATTTTGCCCTGGGCTAGGTTGTGCACACAAGCTTCGGTGATACAGTTCATGAAAAGCCAAAATATTATATGATTTTATATTATACCCGCATGGAGGAGATCTACCGGGTTCTGAGGGGGCATGTGAGATAGAGGGATCGTGCCATGTTGTAGTGGGCTGCTCGATCATTAGCTGTAGTGTCAGCAGCAGTGTCTGAGTGTTTATGAATGATCAATGACCCACATTGCATATTCATGAAGCATAAACTATTGAATGTGTTGACTTGATTAGTTTTGTGAATTTTCACTGAGTAAACATCTGTATGAACCTCAACAGTTTAACTTTTCTGTTATCCTAAATACAGTAGTATATCTTATAATATAATGGGTCCAAATCAACAAATACTGTACATATTCAAATTTGTACGGTACGGGGTAGGTTTAGGATTTTTTTTTTAAAGATGATTATTGTCCATAATATTGTGTTTCTATACCTTTTCTGTAGGAGGACCCCATCGAGCGGCACTGTGTGCCTGATGTTCCAAAAGAACACTTTGGCCAGAGGTTACTTGTCAAGTGCTTGTCCCTGAAGTATGTGGAAGGAAGACAAAAAAAAAAATTAACTTATTTCATGCTGATTTTTCTGATTTGAATTTTATTTTTTTTTTGTGTGTCTCCCACTGTAGATTTGAAATCGAAATTGAGCCCATATTCGCTAGTTTGGCTTTATATGATGTCAAGGAAAAGAAAAAGGTAAGTAGATGGAAGATGATATTTTTTCATAAGAGCAATGAACAATTCGGCCAATTGTGAAATGCGATTAAATTTGGCAAGGACAAGTTTCCGGCCTACAGGAATGTCTGTAAACTCCATATTTGAATTGATTACTCGTGAGGGGAGTAAATAATAAACAGTAGAGGGAAGCAGTCGTTGAATAGACTTTTTACTTGAAATAATTTAATGCTTGTTGGAAAAGGGGGCATTTAAAGTAACACAAGTTACATAATTACATCTTTTCATGTTTTCTTTACTGATTACATTGATTTGTATATTCTGAACAGATATCAGAGAATTTTTTCTTTGACCTGAATTCCGAGCAGACGAAGGCAATGTTGCGTCCACACATTCAAACTGCAGCCATTTCCACTTTAGCACGCTCAGCCATATTCTCAATCACCTACCCCTCTCAGGATGTCTTTCTGGTCATCAAGGTCAGCCACTTAACACCACACTCTCGACTGTTGCACAATTGTAAATCTTAGCAATTCTGTGATCGTCTCCTTGCTTCACTAAAACTGTTTTTTCTTCAGTTGGAGAAGGTGCTACAGCAAGGAGATATTGGGGAGTGTGCGGAACCTTATATGGTGTTTAAAGAATCTGACGCAAACAAGGTACGTATAATATGTATAAATGTGCATGCTTTATGATAACAGAATGAACTGTAAAGTGCATGATTACATAAACAAAAGAAACTTTGGGAAAGTTGTTGTTTGTTGACATGTTGTATCTCTTGTTGCAGAATAAAGAAAAATTGGAGAAACTCCGTAGTCAATCTGAGCAATTTTGTCAACGCCTTGGCCGGTACCGCATGCCCTTTGCTTGGACTGCCATCCACTTAATGAATATTGTCAACAGCGCCGGCAGTCTCGAGAGAGATACTGAGCTGGAGATGAGCCTTTCAGGTATTTTTTATTTTGTTTTTTTAACTCTATTAATACAGCCTTGCGTGAATGTCCAGTGTTTGCATCATATTACCGCGGAATGGTGTTGCTAGATACACAAGATACTGTATTTTATCATACTGTGAAAATATGGGATTTATCTCAAGACTAATTTAACTACCATGTTGCAGGTTCATATAAAACCAAATGATTGTGATGGCTTTACTGCTCACTAATGACACACATTTTAGAAACCTTTGTGAGTGTACACTATTCTGGATTCAGAGACTAAGCATGCCAAGTTGTCATTTTTGTATTAGCTTTTGCAGAGGTCTGTGCTCTCTTTGCTCCCGTTACTAGCATTTTGACTCTTATTTTGTGCAGAGAGAAAGGGATCATGGTCAGAACGACGGAACTCAAGCATCATGGGAAGGCGGTCTTTGGAAAGAACCACCAGTGGAGATGAATCATGTAGTCTGACTGGTTTTAGACCTGCCACCTTAACCATCACCAACTTCTTCAAACAGGTCTGCGTAGCCACAGCCAGACACAGAAATTAGATCTGAAATAGAGCAAAGGCATGCAGCATTTCCAAAGCGCTCTTACATCTGATGTTTTGTTTATTTTAGGAGGGTGATAGGCTGAGTGATGAGGACTTATACAAGTTTCTTGCTGATATGAGAAGACCTTCTTCAGTGTTGAGGAGACTGAGACCCATAACAGGTATAAACATATATACACCTTTGACATTTAAGAAAACAATTGTGGGGAGCTGGTTGATTTACTGACAGTATTTCTTATTTTCGTTACTAATGCCATCAAGTGTCCTTCATCAAATTCACTCTCATTGCCATTTTTGACTTTCCCTGCAGCCCAGTTGAAATTGGACATTTCTCCAGCTCCAGAGAACCCCCACTATTGCTTGACACCTGACCTCTTGCAAGTTAAACCTTACCCAGACAGTAGAGTGCGCCCCACCAGGGACATCTTGGAGTTTCCTGCCAGGGATGTATATGTGCCAAACACTACATACAGGTACAAGATGATTTTCCTTTTATTTTTATCTGTTGTCTCAAAAGGTTATTGTCTAATGTGTGACTGGAAGTGTAGAGATGGTACAGATGGGGCAAAGAAAGCCTCCATGCGCAGCAATTTTGTATGGCCCTGTAATACTTTGGGCCTGATTTACTAAGATCACTGATAGTGAGCGCTAAATTCTGTTCCTTTTCACAGATTGTGTGTTGACGGACGTGTTGCATGTGATGTACTAAGTCCGCAATCTTTTTACTAAAATCCCAAGGGCCGCCGATTTGCATGTTCACTTTAATAGGGTGGCAAAAAGTTGGAGACCGCTGTGTATAATAGCCTGTTTTGCACAAGGTTGTCAGCATGGGAAATCGGGGAGAGCAACACAAGCGCAAAATGCTTTAATAGGGTGGCAAAAAGTTGGAGACCGCTGTGTATAAAAGCATGTTTTGCGCAAGGTTGTCAGCATGGGAAATCAGGGAGAGCAACACAAGCGCAAAATGAAGTGTGAAGAGATGTAATTGGAAATGTTAGGGGAAGAGGCAAACAAACATTCCTGAGTTTGCTGCAGTAGGTTAGGGGAAGCCAACAACTGCATGAAAGCAATGTTGTTTGATCCAACTTGTCCCAATTGCATGGCAGTTGGGCATACACATATGTGCCCATCTTGCATGTTATTGTGTCATTGTATTATTGTACACTCAGGGTAATCTTTAAGAGACATGATGCTTTAATACGGGGCCTTTGTTTGTGTTTGTGTGTGTGTGTGTGTGTGTGTGTGTGTGTGTGTGCGTGCCTGTGTGTACCCAGTATGCACTCACTGAGGACTGTGTATGGGATTTTTATTGTTTTCACGATCATCTAGGCCTGCCATGCTATTTTATTTTCCCCGGATGATATATTTTACCAGAAACTCACGATAAATGAACGTGTGTGTGTGTGTGTGTGTGTGTGTGTGTGTGTGTGTTTGTGTATATATATGTATGTATGTATGTATATTTTCTTTATTAATGCCACTGATAAAGATTTTCTAATTCGCTTATCCTCACAAGGGTCGCGGGTGTACTGGATCCTATCCCAGCTGTCTTTGGGCAGTCGCCGACACACACTCGAAACTGGCTGGCAGCCGTTCGCAGGGCACACATAGACGAACAACCATTTGCACTCACAATCACATCAGAGCACAATTTAGTTCAATTTAGTTCAATTAACATGCCACACATGTTTTTGGAATGTGGGAGAGAACCGGAGAAAACCCACGCAGGCACAGGGAAAACATGCAAACTCCACACAGGAAGGCCAGAGCCGGAATCGAACCCTGCACCTCTGCACTGTGAACCTGACGCACTCACCAGCTGACCACTGGTGGCCCAGTGGTCAACTGGTGTGTGTGTGAGTGTATCTGTAAATATAAAATACATTTCTTTTTCTCACACATTTCTCAGTTGAGATAACTTCTTAAAAATGTCACATTGGAGAGCCATTTGATATTCTTGTTTATTATGTGATGAGCCTTTCGAACACGTGTACAGAGCATGATGACACACATTTACAGAACATTTGTGTACAATTGACAGGAGTCAATGTGACCCAAAAATATCAAAGATATAATATCTATCTTAACAGACGGCATACCGTAAGCAGGTGCATGATTTAAATACTTAAGTGAGTAAAAATGAGAACAAACAATGGGCACAAACAAAACTAAACACATCATTTCCTAACTTTCACTTGACTTTTATCTTTTGGTTTGTGCTCTAAGCCACTGGGAACATACTTAAGTCAGGTAGAGCCTTCCTGTTAAGCGAAAAGATAAATTGAGCAAGGCTACATTTGCAATTACTTTTTTTTTTTTTTTTAATCATTCATAGTTGTTTTGTCTGCCAATGGATTGTTGTAATACTCCAGTCAGCGTGCTGAATCAATCTCCATTTTTCAAGCGACTTATATTTTGCTGTATGATGATAGTTCTAATGCCCAGCTCTGATTACCTTTATGGCATTGTTGCATCCTTTCCCCATTGCAGTTTTTTAAGACGTCTGTATTTTTCGGACAATTGTGATTATTCATTCCTTAAATAGTCGAATTCAAAGTTTTGTCACAACTGCAAATGGAGCTGGGCTCGCTTTGAGGTGGAGGTTGGAAACGAATGTATACGTTGGACGACGAGTGAGTCGGCCGGACACCACTGTAATATGATGGGTAAGTTCGGATTTTTACTTATTAGCTAATGTAATATACCCTACCATTGCTAGTTAGAACAAACTCTGTGGCGTTTGTAGACTCTACTATATTATATTCATTTAGCAAATGATGCTTGTGGGAGTGGCCTTTTACTGAAATTCCTTTGAGACATTTAAAAATAAGTGCAGCTCACCCTGGACAGGCTGAAAAGCCTTGTCGCAGTTACTGTAGTTTGATCACTATCTAAACAGAGAGCAAAGTATGACCTTTAACTTACTCGCTCTATATTGTTGGAGTTGTCTTGTGCGTGTTCAACTTTCTCCAGCGAACTTAGCTTAGCATAGCTTGCTCCAAATCATCTAAATGGCCAGTGATTGACTGTGAGTGTAGGGCGGTGTGGTTATTGTGGGAAACGGGCGTGCTGGCCATCGGGAATTTTGAGAACATGTTGATTTTTCCAGAACGGACGCTCTATTCCAGACCATTCAAACCACATGATGGCTAAAACACCCACCCACGACCACCCCCCGTCGCTGGTTAACTTTTGAAAACATTTCGGCGTGTGAAGACCGGCGCCCCACCCCACGCCCTGCCTTTGAAGTATATCCTGGGCCAATTTTGGTCCCAGTACGTCCCTGGTGGGAAATATGTAAAATAAATAAGGAGCAGGCGAACGTCACAGTCACTGCTGGATCATTTTGTTAAGTTCTCAGCTATTAATGGGAAAGAGGGGCACTTGCAAATTTGAACAACACCACACCCTTGAAAATCAATATTAAATTGTTCTTTATTTAGGTGAATTTGGTGAGGTGTTCAAACGTCAAATTTGGTAAACAATTTTTATGTGGAAAGGAGTCCTTATTCAAAGGACATTTTCCCCAGCAGGGGGGGAAAAATACAGGTGTGGGTAGCGTGTGCTCGTAGGGCAGGGGTGGAGCGATTCCCAAAGTAACCGATGGAATAATCAATAGGATAATAAATTTCAAAAAGATTTGTTTGTGACATCCCTACTTGTAACCTGTGCTTTTGAACACTATGTGCTATGTACTGTGTACTATGTGTATGTACTATGTACACTTCTCGGTCTCGTAGATGATATTGTCCCACATTGTAAAATTGAAAATGCACCGCTACAATTAGCTCTCGTTCGACTAGAAGGACTATAATTCCTATGATTCTTAGACATGGAAGGAGGAAGTCGTTCCAGCATGACGAAAACAACCACCAGCTAGCGAAAAGATGCGGATGAAAATGAGAGCGCAAACATAACAGAAATAAATTTGAGTTAAATCCATCCATTCAGGGCACACCGCATTACAAGGTGCTGTGTCGATTTTTGAGAAAATTTGAGGATTTTAATTTCGTCAACATCCGAAAAAAAGGGTACTTGTTTTGTTTGGTGTGCTATAACAGCCTCCTCCAAAATCGTGTTTTCCGTGATACTGCACAACAAAAATCTAACATAATTGACAAGCATTTGTGTTATGTTTCAGTGATGTACATTAGTGGTTGATGAAAAAATGCCAGTAGTGTTGTCAGAGTTGTCATGGATGTCAGTTTCAGTTGAAACCTTCAGCACTTGTGGCAGGTCGGATGGAGAATTTGGTCATCTTGAGGGAATATGCTGATGCGTTGCCAGGTTTCCAGGGAATACCCCTTCTTCTCGCAGGACGTGCCTTCGGTCTAACCCACAGATACCTTCCATTAAGGTTGTTCTCTCCACATCCCGTAAACCACCAACCACCTGCAAAAGTTTGAACAAGAGATACAAGTTGTACAAAAATGCATTATTTTGGCTCTGATTTGTTACTCGAAGCGGCAATGACGAATGATGCCGTTCATTCTGGTTAATTTTCAGATTTTGGTGTGGTCGCAAAAGGTATACCTGTGTAATTGCGTGCACAGTGAGAAACTTGTGGATTGCCATTATTTTGGTCTTTGGTGGAAAATCGCACACCGGAACTGTTGCGCATGGCATCAACCAGGTCACCGGAGAAGTGGCTAAGATGGAGTGCATAATGCTCAGTGGCGTCATCCAATGAGAAGTGGTACTCAGCCCAGTGTTTTTCCTCCTTCCAGTCCTCCAGATCAATTTTCAAGATGTACAATCCTTGTTGTATTATACTATGGATCTTCTTCAGACCCAACCAGAAGTCCTCTGCATACAACACATGATTCAACTTGGGTTAGATATCGAATGGACCATAAGGATGTTTAACTACATCAACACCATGATGCTTGCTGGCATTTAATCTCAATTCTTCTGGCCATTATTTTCCCATGTCGATCTATTTCTGCGTGTTTAGACGCAATGCGAAACAAACAAACCAAAACTTGGTGCGAACAGTTGTCATTCTCACACTTTCATTGGTATAGCTAAGTGGAAACAACAAAAAAGTGTGAAACAATACTTACTTTCCAGATCTCCGAAACCCTTTTCGTACTTTTCCCATGTCTGGTCAAAATCCACTGACCCATCAACCCTGCGTTGGATCACAGTTGAACCTCCATCTATGGAATGCATTGCAGATATTTTTCATGGTAACATTGAAATTTCACCCTTACTGTTAACAATGAATAGATTTTAAAATAGAACCTGATGAGAATCAATGACGTGATCAATTAAAAAAAAAAAAAAAAAAAATCACCCACCAGAACCCATTTCACAGTAAACGTTGAAAGGCTCAGATTGTTTTGGCTTGATGGTGTAAATTCCACTCTTGTTCACTTTTCTTTCAAATAAATCAGTGCAGTCAACAGGCAAATCTGAAATGACCAAGACAATGTACGTCAATGCACAAATGCAAATGTCTTCAATTTGTTTTTGTTTTTTTAAGAAATCACACCTGAACAGGAAATGGAATTATATTACTAATGTTTTTATGTTACCGTTTTCATCTAAGTCAGATGTATTTCTTGTCAGATACTCAAATATGTCTGGAGATGTCGTCTCCAAATCCATTGCTTTATCGGCTGTATCTTGGAAATTGTCATAGTTGAGCTGCAAGACACCATTGCAGTCTTTCTATTAGGCTCTGTCATCACCCATCAATGTAAAAAACAAAAAAACAAAAACAGGTGTCTACCTTTTCCTCCATATTCTTAATTTGGATTTTCTGATGGTCAAGCTGCTCATGCTGTTCCTGCACAGCTTTCAGTAGACTTGTGATTGTTTTCTCCTGAGTTTCAATCATCTCCTGGACAGAACAATGAAAAAAAAAATTAGCACCTACATGTTCATGACACCACCGTCAGAATGGGCAATTTAAATTCTCAAGGACTTGGTAGTGGTTGTTGGTGACAGTTCAGTACTAAAAATGTTGACGAATGTTCAATTTTACATCTTGAAGCAAAACATTTTAATCCCACAAATAACCAAAGACTACTACTTTCGAGCCTCCGGCGACAGTCAGACTATCAGTCATAACAAGGAGACCTTATCAATGGGTTCGGATAGATTAAAGTTCTTGAATGTGCAATTCTACAACGTGTGTCAAGTACAGTATTGATTTGTTCAAAGCACAGAGATGCAACAGCTATGGAGTTATGCAACACCTCTTTCTCTCTATCTAGTTTTATCTTGACCTGTACAGATGTAGATCTTTCTTTTTATTTATTTATTCATTTTTTTCACATCCGTATTTGCTGCTTACCTTGAGTGCTGTAATTTCTTTGAGCTGGTCAGGATGGAGCGTATGTTCCGACAGTCCCTTCAACCTCTCCTCAAGACTTCCCACCTTGCTCTGTAGCTGTTCACGCTCCTGCACAATGTTATTGATCTTCGAATTGATTTCCAAAGACAGGTTCTTGATCTCCTCGTTGTTTGTTTTCAATACACCGGTTGTCCTCTTCAGTTCTTCCTCTTCCTCCTTGATTTCTGATGTGACCACTGAAAGTTGGTAAAATGACCTGTCAAAAATATTCAGTTTTTGGAAGATGTCATTGATTTGGTTCTTGGTCTTGTGCACAAACTCCCGTAAGCTCTGGCCCAGCTGAAGGAGGCCATTTGCAAGAAGGCGGACGTCGTCTAGCATGGCAAACCGAGACTTTGCCCCTGTTGGAGTTGGCAATATAGCAAGGCCTTCAGAAGGCGTTGGGAGGATGTCATCTTGACTCGCGTTATCCAGGGGAAGAGCAGCACTGGAACTGGCTAGCAACAGTAACAGGAAAAACAGCGTCATGATTTCTCTTTCTAACGTATTGTGAAGACCCTTTTCATTCTATCTCCCGACCAGACTTCCAACATATAATGCGCGAGCAGCATGTTGCCCCATGTTATATACCACCCGCTGTAGGGAGGGGGCTTAACTGATCTTTAAACCCTACCATTTTGTTACTCACCTCCCCCTAAACTCGCCTGGAGCCCTCCCCCTCCTGAACAAACAAATCACAGCGGTGAGCAAATGACATACCTCCCCCCCCCTCCTCTTTCAACACATTTAACTCCAATCCGCTCTTCATTAGCCCAACCACCCTCCCCACCCCTCCTGTTCTCCGTGTGGGAGTTTTAGCTGATCAGCAAAAAGCCAAACAATGGCCGTCACAGGTGTTGGATGGATAGCCTGTCTGACCAATTTGAAAATTTGGGTCCACGCGCATACATTACTCTGATTGATAATGCTATATATAATTAATACTCGAGCTTGATTTTAGCCTCCTGCTGAGTCAGCCTAGCACCATGTTCTCTTGACTATAGCAGGAAGCGGCCCATCATTTGCGCCAGAGTTGAGCTATGAGGCATGAGAAATGTTGAAACGCTTGGACCGTGAAGATGCATCATTTTGATTTTATAGTTATCTGGAGTCATTACAGCTTTTTTTTTTCTATTTTGAATGGTGTAATCCTTTTTCACTCCCATCATCTGATATGATAAAAAGGGCCAAAGCACTTTTAAAAGTGAAAAATAAAATGATGAAAACAAATTTTCGTTTCTGATGTTTAGAATACAAGTACACATAATTGTATGTGCAGCATTGTAAGGTGACCACCAAATTCCGTAATACAGACGCTCCCTAGCTTACGAATGAGATACGTTCCGAACGATCGTTCGTAAGGTGAATTCGTTCGGAAGTTGCTTCAGTGCTATATTTTGTATGGAATGTTTCTCCATCTCTTCTAAGATTTTCCCTCTTTTCTTGCTAATGATTGTCGATTGCATCAGCACTACACCTTTCACGTGTTCCATTATGCGATCTTTCTGTTTATAAATGGTATCGATGGTCGAACGTTTCATGTTGTATGCACGTGCAACGCTCACCATTTTCTCACCCGCATCAAGCTTCTTTATTATTGCCACTTTCATTTGAAATGAAATGGCTTGCCTCTTCTTTAACAACTGGGCAGAGGAAGCCGGATTCGGGGTGGATGCTGGGCAAGCTCTCACAGTGCCTCAGTATGTCACTCTTGACGCAGGTCAAGGCGCGCTTCTCGGTCACGTTAGGTTACCGCTAAAATGAAACCCGGGAGCGAGCAAAATTAGTATAAAAACAACCATCTTTGGAAAGTTTCTTTGGGAAGGGGAAAAGGCCCAGCCAGGAGACAGAAGAGGAGCCTATGACTTATAAGAAAAAGAAGGCTACATTTGATTGACAGTATCCGGAGTGTAACTTCAAAATACGGATTTATTTCAGTAGGAGATTCCCATGCACCAAGCCCACTCTGCATAATATGCGGCGATGGTGAGTCGTATTTTTCATGCACTTTGTATCTTATTTTGAAGGCACGTTTAAACGTTACCATACCGACCAGAGAGTGTTGCGGCCAGATAGGACGTTCCTCGTGTCATGATTCGGGTTTATTCACGTTTCGAAAACACCACAGTTTTCATGCAGGTAATATCACATTATTTTGTTGTATTTATCTGTCACACCTTAAAGGCCAGTCCCTGAAAATATTGTCTGACATTAAACTGGCCTGTGGGGCAAAAAAAGGTTGGGGACCACTGTCATACACTGAATACCACTAAGGAAACCCACATAAACAACTTATGGCATGCTGAGCACGTTTTGAGAATCACCATTTTAAATCTATATTTCAAGTGATCATTTGAATCCTTTCAGGGACAGCGGTTACCACAGTGGACAGCTTATCATGTTATCAGGTTACAGGGTGCATGAAAGGGTTAAATTAAAGCACATGGTCTATTTTATTTACAAATGCAGCCCAAAAATGTTATGCTTGGTTATTTATTTGGTTTTTGTTTTTTTTACCTGCTTCAGTTTTTTTTTTCTTTTCGTCATTGTCACTTTAAAGCGCAATCACTGTGTTAAAAAAAAAAAAAAGCACAGCCTTTGATTATTGGATTTCTGAACTAATTGTTGGTCTTGAGTTGTCTTGTCTCCTTTTTTCCCCCCTTCATCTCTTGCCGAAAAACTCACTCAAAACACTTGGAAAGTATGCATCGACTTCCCTTGGAACTGGCAGTGTTGTATTTTAAATTTTAGAAACAGAGCCACATTTTGATCATGGGAAGCGCTCCCATTTTGATTCGACTATCAAGAGCCAGATGAAAAACGATCATTTTACAAGACCACTGACATTCCCATGCTTCTTTGGAAGTTGTGTTTCCAGCTGTGATCTCTGCGGAGTCATCCCTGACGTCACTGCGGTTTATTGCCTGATCCTAGGTTACTTTGCACTTCCTATTCTCCTGCCCCTCCTGACATCTATCATGGGTTTATTCAACATTCAAACAACTCTGTATTTTAATCGCATTCCTCTCTGGGCATTTGTTCACACAAAATGTGAGTGGTTTGTTGAATTTATAATTTGCTTAAGACCTACACAGAAAGTTTATGTCAATTCCAATACTTTGTACATAATACATGTTGCTGTATTCCAGTGCATCTGAATAAATTAGTTTATCGTGAAAGATGTAATTTATTTCTGTATTTCTATCCAAAAAGCACAACGCACAGATTCACTGTATTCAAAGAGTGATCTGTTTATTTGATGATTGTGGTCTGCAGCTAACAAAACCCCAATTTACTATTTCAAAAAAACAAAACAAAACGAAACAAAACAAATCCATCAATCAATCAGTGATGATGATGATTTGCATGTTTTTCGTGTAGTGAGGTGACAAACGTGCAACACCAGTGTGGATTTAACTTTTTTCAATATTATAATTTTACGAGATTTGTCATTTTTCAATGTTTATCAGCTTTAAGTAATAAACAACACATACATCTTAACATGTCCATTAAATCTATAGAATACTGTGTATGAATTTAACTTTTTGAATTATATTATTCAAATGAATTACACTTCCCTGGACGTTCAAATGTATTATTTACGGTACCTCTATCATATTAACATAGACGGCAGGAGGCCCTTTCTCAACACAATTAAAGCTTGGAATTTTCTACCTTTTGTTGGATCGCTGTTTGAGATTAGCACCAACACAGAATCGGGGTGGAGGGTCACTAAACTGATAAGCAATTGTCACTGTCGACAAGTACTGCATACATCATGCTGTACAAGACGATTATCTGTGTGCGGGACGTAGGACTGTCTTGATCCTAATTTTTCATGTCTGATACGATACCGATATAGCAGCCTAGAGTACCATTAGATTCTGATATCGGTGCTGTACGATATCAGCAGGAATGACACATTCTTACTTAATTTTTTCAGTATAAAATGTCAGAAGAGACTTGATCAAGACTTTGTGTTGTGTGTGTTGTGTTATTTTTGTTATTTTGACTTCAAGATGGCGCCGCGAGAGTGGCTGCCTTTCCAGCAGCTCCTATATTTTGTTCTTCTACTTCTTCCTTTCATAACTTTGCTGCTGTGAATTGGGAATTTCTCCATTGCGAGACTAATAAAGGTTTTCTTATCTTATCTTATCTTATCTTATCTTATCAAGTGATACCATTCAAAAAGAGAACACTAGTCAGCAACAGTAGGTATTGAGAAAATCTGACTGATATCAATAGCGGATCAGGATAACCCTAGCGGGAAGCCACGTTGCTGTTTGAATATGCACGCAGCCACTGCGATGTCTCACTGTTGTGTCCTGTGCAAAGACACAGGCGAATAAATGTCATTTCTTATATGTTGAGCTGGGGTTATCTGAAATGTAGTTACTAGCGACATGTCAATTTGATATTGATAATCACACAATCGTCTGACCGCAAGAATTTTCTGTTTTCCTGTCTGCATAAAAATGTACGGTGCACAATGAGTATTGATATTGTGCATTTCTATTTAATTAGAATTAACTCATCTCATGTTTAATCTTAAATATTATATGTATATATATATGTATGTAAATATATGTATGTATGTGTGTGTGTGTGTGTGTGTGTGTGTGTGTGTGTGTGTGTGTGTAAGCAGGTTATTTATATCAGCTCTGCAGAAGTTTCTTTTCAAGAAAAATACTGACCCCTACCCCTAAAACATGCCTTTATGCGATTTATATAATATCCTGTGATTTTTTTTTTTTTTTTCCATGCTCATTTTGCAGAAATCTGCTGTATGTGAACCCGCAGAGTCTTAACTTCGCCAATCGCCAAGGCTCAGCCCGCAACATTACAGTGAAAGTGCAATTCATGAATGGAGAAGATCCGAATAATGCTATGCAGGTATGTTAAGATGGACCAATGGCTTGTCATGTTTTATTTATTTATTTTATTTTTTTGATGTTGACCATATATCCATGGCAGTAAAGTAGCTCTTTAAACACCTCACTGTTCCCAGGTGATATTTGGGAAGTCAAGCTGTGCTGATTTCTACAAAGAGGCCTATACGTCGGTGGTCTACCACAATCGGTAAGAGTGTTTTGTCCCTGATCCATGTTTACTGTGAGTTTTCATGATTCGTGTATTGCTTTAATTCATTTAGAAAAACTTTTACATACAATGAGTCTAATTGTATTTTTAACGTGATCCCTGAAATTTTCAGATTATTTCCGGTTAAATCTTGACTGGACAAATGTTTTCTTCATTAAGAGAGTGCTGTTGCTTTTTCGCTTGTCACAACACTAAGATTTTGTTACATTTTTCTTCTTTTATTTTATTTTTTTATGTATACGGCAGGGGTCCCCAACCGCCGGTCCGCAGGGCATTTGGTACCGGGCCGCACAGAAAGAACTTGCCTTAATTCCGTTTTATTTATTTTGGAATACGAAAGATGTTTTATTTTGAAAAATTACCGGATTCTCCGTTACATCAGTCTGTGTCACGCTTGACATACGTCAAGCCATGCTTCTCCGTCACGTGACCGATTACGCTAAAAACAAAACGCCGGTTGTCTCGAACGTACTTAAAAGTACGTTCGAGACAACTGGATTAAAGGTATGGCTGAATACTCTGAGATCGCCACAAGAGCACTGTTGCTTTTTCCGACATCCTACCTGTGTGAGGCAGGGGTTTTCTGCAGCAACGGCGACAAAAAACAAAATTACGAAGTAGACTGGACATAAACCACACACTTGAGGTGTCATTGTCTCCTATTACCCCGAGATGGGACCGTCTGGTTGCAGAAAATCAAGCTTGGGGCTGTGGTGAGTCGTCATTTTCATGCACATTGAATTTGCGTTGCATCGTATTTTGAAGGCATTAAACATTACCATAGCGATCAGAGTCTTGCGGCCAGATTAGACGCTCCTTGTGTTTATTATTATATTTCGAAAACACCACAGTTTTCATGCAGCTCATGCCATATTATTTTGTTGTATTATTTCTGCCACACCTTAAATGCCGGTCCCTGAAAATATTGTCTGACATAAACCGGTCCATGGGGCAAAAAAGGCTGGGGACCCCTGGTATACGGTATTTTGGAAAAACCCGCGAAGCACTGAAGCCACAAAACATGAAGCGCAAAGTGGCGAGGGATTACTGTAATACGTTTGATTTGACTTTCCCTTGTCCTCAGACTCTTGTTATGAACGGACTCAGAAATAATTTCAAATAATTTGCATCTTGTAAACAATGCACATTTATTTCTCAAATTTAAATCTTTCTAGAATCAAGCCAACTGTCCTTCCTTGAGATTCATCAGTGTTTTGATGAATTTTACGGATGTTGAGTGTTAGATGCCAACTTGAAACAACACACTAATTCCCTTGAACAGATCCCCTGACTTTCACGATGAGATCAAGATCAAACTCCCTGCCTCCCTATCGGACCACCACCACATTCTCTTCACCTTCTACCACGTCAGCTGCCAGCAAAAGCAGAACACGCTGCTGGAGACCCCTGTGGGATACACGGTGAGTAACAATAGAGTATGAAAGATAACCCCACATGTTCAAAATAAATACCATAGTATTCATTTTAACTAACAAGTTCACAGATTTGTCACATTTTTGGGTTAAATGTACAGATTTGATGTAAAGGAAGTAACTGCATATTTTTGAAGCTGTTGTATTTTGCAGTACAACACAGTTTAAAGTCGAACCTCGTTACAATGTACCTCGAGGGACATAATCCGTTGTCAACATTTCCAATAAAATGGGCGCCAACGACGATGTCTAATACAGGATGAACGTTTATAGATGTAAAAACATGAACATGTAATACAGTATAAACATGTCAATTACAAATACGGGAATACAGTATGACGAAAACATTCAGTCAGCAAATGAAAAGTACCTTTTCCAGTTCAGGATGTGCCGCGCCCGAAGCCGTTTATGATCATCTTTCAATCTGTTGGCCTCGAACTCTGCCATGATTTTGTTGCTATTACGGATGATTGTCGAAATCGTTGACTTTGCCAATTTGTAGTCTTGTCTGCTTCATCTGGGAGACTCCCTTTCGAAAGTGAGAGGCAATTTCAGCCTTCACAAACAGCGAGATTTGCTCAGGGCCGCGCCTTGTCTCCGGAAGTACAACAATGTACGGGTCAATCAGTAACGTTGCTAAGCAACGGACGGGAGTCCCATGCTATACATTTTGTTCATAAGCAAGGTCACGGCGGCAGCTCGATTCACGAGGATTCGTTGTAACGAACGCATTTTCACTATTTTGTTGGAAAAATGTGGTCGTTATAATGAAGATTAAGTCGTAAAAGTGTTCATTTTAAGCAAAATCGGGACTTTGAAATGTGAACGTTATAGGGGTGAAAACGTAAACGGGGTATGTTGAAAAGAGGTTTGACTGTATCAACAGTCATTACACTTTTTTTTTTTCTCCAGTGGATACCCATGTTGCAGAATGGACGTTTGCGGACTGGGCACTTCTGTCTTCCTGTTTCTCTGGAAAAACCACCACAGTCCTACTCTGTACTTTCACCAGATGTAAGTCATAAAACCATTGTTTATAATGATTACAAATATTGAATTTATATCATGAAAGATGTACTGTAGGTCACATTAGACGAGTAGTTTCACACATTCGTCGCACAGTTCTGAAATTAGGGGGTCAGAATCCGGGTATCTGGCCATCTTGTGTGGAGTTTGAATGTTCTCCCCATGGTTTTGTTAGTTTTCTCCAGCTACTCCCACTTCCTCTCACATTCCAAAAACATACATGGTAGGTTCGTTGAAGACTCTAAATTGCCCATTGGTGTGAATGTGGATCTGAGTGTGAATGTTTTTCTGTCTATATGTACCCTGCTTGGCTGGTGACCAGTTCAGGGTGTTGAAATCAGATGGGATAGGCAGGTCACCCTTGTGACCCTTGTGATGATAAGCAATGTAGGAGATGATCGAAGTTTGGTGCAGATAAACCATGAGTCACACAGTTTGCAATATGAATATTTCCCAAATATGTTAAATATTTCTAGAACTTTTTCTTCATTGCTATTTACATTGAAAATTTTGTGACCTATCCGACATTCTCGTTACAAATTAGCCGAAGCAATTGATCATACAGTACATTAGGCGACACACTAAATCAGGTTTTATTTCGGACTTCAGGTTCCTCTCCCAGGAATGAAGTGGGTGGACAACCATCGTGGGGTATTCAATGTGGAGGTAGTTGCCGTTTCAACTATCCACACACAGGTAATGTATCACATTGAGTCTACTATATAGTATTACACGCCTATGTGTCTCACCACAGGGCAGAAGTTTGTTTTTTGGTCAGCTGTATCGTCTACAGTGGCTATCAGAAAAAGCATGGATGAACTTTCTCATCAACTGCTGGTCCTCATTCTGATCAATTTTATATTCATGTGATTTCTTATTCGCCATGAGCCACGACAACTCATCATGGAGTCTTTTCCCTGGTGGAGGCAAGACTAAGTTCGCAAATTACATTTTGTTAATTACAGCTCAGACTGTGTAAGTAGAGCAGACGCATTTTCAACAACAATGCCCCCACCTCTACTGCGTCTGCAATTTAACCGAAGCAGTAATCGGTTATGGCTAATCCGTAAATCCAGCAAAAGCCAGTGCAGCCCTGCTTACCTTTTTGCGTTGATAGTGCTTTCATACTGTCTCTTGTCTACTAAAAGTGGCTCAGGAACTTCATCCAGCCGAGCTAGTCGTGCCATTTGTGTGGGCGTGCTTAGTTTGTACACCTTACATAAAACCTTGCTCACAGAAACATTTCAGAAATAGGAAGATAAAAGGTTTATTTGGTTGTTTAATTTCACACACCGATCCAACTCCCAGTATTTGTATAAAAGTAAATTTTCCACATTATGTCCCGTTTTAAGTTTTGTTATGGTTCTCCAGTACAATTATAGATATTTCCAAGTAGACATGCACCAATTCGCAACAGGAGACAATGAACACAAACAGCATCAGAACCAGTCTTTTGCAAAAGGGGAGGCCGTCGCCTTCATTGCACCACGGTCATCCAACGTTCTGTTTCCCTTCTGCTCCTTTTATTAAGATAAAAGAAGTAGTCACAATACTACCTAATATGGGTGGTTAATATGTGTGCAGCAGTGACTGAGTCAGCGTCTGCCTTTTTGGGTGTAGCACAATTCAAAGCAGTTTACAGCAAGCAATGTGTTTTACAGAAAGCAATGTGTACTTATATGATAACATATGTACAATGTTATACAATCATTGCATCATCTTTCCACTAAGTGAGCCAACTTTCCAACTCAGAGTTAAAAAGTTGGACACTTCAGTCAAACTACATTAATTGCTTGAGATGTGTATTCCTTATCATAATTGTATTTATTCCTGTATGTTTCTTTCAATGTTTCTGTGTCCTTACCATACCATTCTCTGATTATCCCTTGCTCTCATTTTCCAGGATCAGTACTTGGATAAGTTCTTTGCATTGGTGCATGCACTGGATGAGCACATGTTCCCAGTCCGGATAGGGGACATGAGAATCATGGAAAACAACTTGGAAACTGAGCTGAAGTCAAGTATAGCAGCACTCAACTCTTCCCAGCTGGAGCCAGTCGTTCGATTTCTTCACCTTCTACTTGACAAATTGGTTTTGCTTGTGGTTCGACCTCCAGTCATTGCTGGACAAATCGGTATGCTACTGCTTGATTTCATTTCATCATTTCATATCTATCTATCTATCTATCTATCTATCTATCTATCTATCTATCTATCTATCTATCTATCTATCTATCTATCTATCTATCTATCTATCTATCTATCTATCTATCTATCTATCATTATTAAACATAAATAAAAGCAATATACAATGATTCATGTTCAACCTATATTTAGTTGAATACACTATGAAGACAATATATTTAATATTCAAACTTTTTTCATTTTTGGCAACTAATCATTAACTTAGAATTTTATGGCTGCAACACTTTCCAAAAATGCCGGGACGGGGTCATGTTTACCACTGTGTTACATCACTCTTTCTTTTAACATTCAATAAACGGAGGTGAATTCTTGCCTGATTTACAGCCTCAGCTTTTCAGCAGTCCGGGGTCCCTCTCTTTCGATTGCACCACATGTTTTAAATGGGAGACTGTTCTGGACTGCAGGCAGGCCAATCTAGTACCCGTACTCTTTTACTACGAAGCCACGCTGTTGTAACATGGGCAGACTGTGGTCGGGCATTTTCTTGTTGAAATAAACAGGGGCGTCCATGAAAAAGTAATTGCTTGTATGGCAGCATGTTTCTCCCAAACCTGTATGTACCTTTCAGCATTTATGGTGCCTTCACAGATGTGTAAGTTACCCATGCCGTCAGCACTAACATACCATCACAGATGCTGGCTTTTGAACTTTGCGTACATAACAGTCCAGATGGTTCTTTTCCTCTTTTGCCCGGAAGACATAACCTCCACAATTTCCAAAAATAATTTGAAATGTGGACTCGTCAGACCACAGAACACTTTTCCACTTTGCATTAGTCCATCTTAGATGTGGTCAGGCTCAGAGAAGCAAGTGGCATTTCTGAATGTTGTTGATAAATGGCTTTTGCTTTGCATAGTAAACATTTCAGTTTCAGATGTAGTGCCCAACAGTATTTACTAACATTGGTTTTTTTTAAGTCTTCCTGAGTTACCTAGATGTCAGTTTTTGATGCGTGCCGCCTGAGGGATCGAAGGGCACGGGCATTCAATGTTACTTTTTGGCCTTGCTGCATACATGCAGGGATTTCTCTCGATTGTCTGAATCCTTTATTGATATTCTGGCCCACAGATTATACAATTACTAAATTCCTTACAATTGTACAGTGAGGAACATTGTGCTTAATTAAACTGTTTGACTATTTTCTCATGGATTTGTTCACAAAGAGGTGAACCTGGCCCCATATTTGCTTGTGAATGACAATTAAGGGAAGCTCCTTTTTTACCCGATCGTGGTACACACCTGTTTCCAGTTTGCCTTTTGGTGAAGTTAATAGTTATTTGCTCAAAACAATAAAGTTGATCAGTTTCAACATTAAATATATGTCTTTGTTGTGTATTCAATTAAATATAGGTTGAACATGGTTTGCAAATGATTGTATTCATTTTTTTTTTTTTAAACACAACTTCCCAGCTTCATTCTAAACGGGTTTGTTCCAGCATACCTTAAATTGTGTTCCGTTTCTTACTTCAAGACCTCTTTAAATAATAATAAACAAACTTCTTCATCACTTTGTAACATGAGTCATTTAATAATTTTAAAAAGCAACCATTTGCTAAGAAAAAAAAATACTCAATGTCTAATATTTCAAAACTTATTTTATACTTCTCATTTATGTGGTAAAGTGTCTCTATCTAATACGTACTGTGTACTTTGTATTTTAGTTATGTCTAACCCATTTTGTGCTTGTGTGCTTTATTATTTTTTTTCTTATTTTTTTTTAGTCAATCTTGGTCAGTCATCATTTGAGGTTATGGCAGCCATTGTAAACCGCCTCCATAAGTACCTGGACACCAGCCAGGACATGCATGGCCGCAACAGCCTGCTTTCTTCATACATCCACTATGTCTTCCGGTTGCCCAGCACTGACCCCAACTCTCCTTCGCCAGGTATTTAATTAAACAATCTTTCAAGGTCAGGTGTGAAGTAAACTTGGCCAACCATCTTTTGAGTCATACTTACGGCTAAAACTATTTCAAGCATACTTCCATTAGTTTTTTTTTTTTTTTTTAACGCAAACCATCCAGGTTCATAGTTGGACCCATAGCAACGCACTTAACAACGAAAATGCTTTTGTTCATGTCATCTACGGCGAGTGATGTCATTAACAGAATGCCCAGTTGCCAGTGAGCCAATGCATTTTTGATTGTCCCGTGAACTGCTCTTTGCCATTGTTATCGCGTTATTTGGCGAAATGCTTCGGCGCTATGTAGCAATGCACTGTTCACATTCAGGCAAACAGTTGTTTGAGTGGCCAAAAGCAAAGAATAGGGCATGTAAATAGACCAGAAAATTTAAATGATAGTTTTGTTCTCGCAAAGCAAATGAATTTCACGCCGGTTTCAATGAGCATTCTTTGTTACAAGCACTTCGAAGACCGGAGTTTGCAAAAAAACATTGATGTGCTAATCGATGAATAACTCTAGCTGTTGTTTATGAAACAGATTAGTAGATTTAAAGTATTACATGTGTACATGGATATACATCTACCAATGCGATATAATGTACGGAGTGGTCGACAACTCAACAGAACGACCTTAGCAATGATAATGTAGGACACCAACCCACTATGACTTGTGCTCTCAGTGCTAGTGGGAATACTTGGACTAAGTAAGTAATCCCATCATGCGCAATGATTTTTTTTTTCATGCACATTTTATTTTGTTATATTTACTTGTGACATAAAAATATTTTGTTTGGGATTTTCTAAAATGTCTTCACAGTTGACCTTTAACGGTGTGTCTTCTCGTTTTTTGCTTACCTCATCTTTTTGTTTTCCTCATATTTTTCTTCTTGTAATTTTCTCACCTGTTTCCTTTCTTCTCCCACATCAATTTTGCTTTCGTTTGCCTGCAAAAGATGTCAAATCTACCTCAACAGGTATCTATGACAGTTTCATAGACATTGAAGTTGTTTTGCAATCCATCAGAATGATTTGCATTTCTCAATTCCTGCTGCTATAGGTGTTGACTGGTTATTATTTAAATGATATCCATTTGCCACCAACTGAAAAAGACTTGAGTCCTGCTATATCACACTTGCCTTTAGGGGAGAAGGTGAAACATCTGCTAATTTCTTGTTTTTGGTCTTAAATCCTTTTTTTTTTTGTTTGTTTTAATAGCTGAAACCTAAAGGTATAACATATCAAATACCATTGGCATTTTGCATTCTAAATACCCACTTTCTGTCATAAGAACCTCAAAAACATTTAACCGTTAATCAATTCCATTTATCACTTTTAACTATTTGGGTTATTGGGTATATATTGGAATCTCGAATTTTTTTTCCCCTTCAGCCCGTTTGCAACCTCAAACATTAATAAATCGAGGTAATATTTCCAATTGAAATGAATGTAAGTGCAGTTTTTACATAACTTTTTTTTAAACCAGTGTAATATAATGCAACCTAGAAATAAGGAAAAACAAATTACGTATTGTAAAGATATAAAACGGAGGGGAAGAAGACGTCTTTTCTATAATAACGGAGAAAATCTGTTTTAAGTGTTCTTTTAACCATGTCTGTTTCTTTTCTCATTCATTAAATGATTCTGGCATACCAATTCCGGGAAACTTTCCTTTTTCTAACTTAAAAGATTAATTCTCTACAAATTCCTTTTGATCATTTTTATTTATTTATTTTTTTATTTCCTCGCTCACACGATCACCAAGGACTGCTTTCTTATTTTTCCGTCTAATGAAAATCAATACAGCAACACATACGCAGCCTGCTTCTAAAACGCAAAAACGGACAGATCTTTCTGCTCATTTATGACAAGAGCTTCCAATAACACTCTCAGCTTCCCTTTTATTTGGAGTCATTCTGACTGTTTAGTGCTCTATTTACGCCATTTGCAAAAGTTCCTGTATGTTCACATGGAAGGAGCTTCTGCATTCATTCAACCCGGCCACTTCTGGCATCTGATTGGATGAATGGATTGTACGTTGGTGGAACTTTGGCCTCGCGCCAATATGCGGGGACAGCTAATTGATGTGATTACACTGACATTGACCGTTCATTCTCTTAATGCAAAAGACACTACATTTTAGTAAATGACATACACTTTAAATCAATTTTGGGGATGAAAATGAAATGATTTTTGGTGTTGCAGTTGCTATTTGTGACTGGATGATCAAGAATCCGGCACTAGAACTTCCGTCTACATATGCGACGGCTTTTACCTTAAGCTGCCGAAGGATATCGCTAGTTTTTAGATCACGGCAATGCGTTATGCACCTTGCCAATGATGGTTACGCAGCGGCAGTCCATGCCAAGACCATATTGAAAATAGTACATAAATAGAGGTAATTTTTATTGGCAAATTTTTTTACGCAACTCAAATTGTACGTCCAGTTTCCACTGTTAAATATTGGTAATTGTTGTGACATGCTCTGTATCTCATTATTATATTTCCCTTTTTTATGTTGTCCCAGGCCCTGGAGGGCTTGGAGGTTCTGTTCACTATGCCACCATGGCCCGCTCAGCTGTTCGGCCAGCCAGCCTTAACCTAAACCGCTCTCGTAGCCTTAGCAACAGTAACCCTGACATCTCCGGTACGCCCACCTCTCCTGATGATGAGGTTCGCGCCATCATCGGTAGCAAGGTGAGTTCTTCAAACACGAATGTGCTACCAACAAATTTTATGCTCAAACTAGAGAGGCTTAAATATGTTTTCATTTTAGTTACATAATGTCATTGCGCTGCCTGGCTGCCATGTTGCTCCTGCACGTGCTTGTTAGATTTGATTAAATATTTACCAGAAATGACATCATGTCCTATTGACTTTGTAGTGTATTTTCTGAAAAGGTTTTATAAGGTGATTGTACTGATTTTGTACTTTTTAACACTGGTAGGCACTTGCCTTACACGCGCACAGTGACCCTGAGGTCATTTTATCAGTATGTACACTAGACAGTGTGTCAACAGAAGTTTGGACATCTTATCTCTCTAACCACTGTAATAGCAACCTGACATGAGGGGAGGTGTGCGTCGGGTTAAAATTGTGAAAGGCAGACAAAAAGTTGAGTCCGGGTGCATATTTTCATTCCCCTACATCGTAAGGATTTTGGTGGGGTTTATATGACAATTATTGCACGTATTTTTACATGTATTCAGCCCCAAATTAATTGGAGTTGTGCTCTTGCGAATTTGCCGCACTTGGATGTTACATGTGCTGTGAATACTTATCTTCTTTTTCTTCATTTTTCTGCAGTAGCACTTTTATTGACAAAAGTCTACAGAAATGGAAAACAAAACAAAACTATTTTTCGGTCGTCATTTTTACTTAACCAACAGCTGGTCTTTTAGGTCCTTCATCCAATCGTCCTGACCTCTGAACCTCTTTAACCTTTGATTCCTTCCCTCCTTCCCTCATGCTGCTCGCTTGTTGCCTTGCTTCTTGCCTGCCTTGTGTCCTTTGACCTTGGCACTCCTAGGGCTTAGACCGGTCCAACTCGTGGGTTCACACCATGGGCTGTAAGAGTGCCCCTTGGGGATCCAGCCCTGGGTCTGCTCCAGAAACCATGCAGGTGGTTTTATGAATGCCTGATCATCCGCTTTGCTTCTCTTCAAAAAGAACTCACCATACTCACCCTTGAAGAATACTGAAATATTTGGAGTTTTGGTGTTGAGTTTGTACTTGGTCAGTTTTTTTTTTTTTTTTTTTTAAACATGTTCATTTTATTTGTGTTGTCATGATCATATTCATCTTTACTGGTTTTACTGGTTTTAATAATCCTTACAATTCCTCTCGGGGCATGACAAAAATGGCAGTTTTTTTGTGTTGCTCCACATACAGATGTTTGCAATACCAAAACTTCTTAATATTGCAGTATTCGACTATAATCATAATCACAACCCTCCCATGCATGGGCTTCACGATCCCCTCCCCCCACGCCCCACCCCAACCATGTAAATGTAGTGCTTCATCTGAGATCCACTGTGATGTTCCGAATTAACCCACCCCCCCCAAAAAAAAAAAATATACCGCCACAAGAGCGTGTGTATATATATATATATATATATATATATATATATATATATATATACACACAGTATGTTGCTTATAGAGTAGAGTAACTGCACTTGAACATCCTATTGAGTGTTGCAGCATTTTGCTACAGTAAAATTTGGCTTTTGAAAATTTTTAAGAGAACCCTAAAAAAACAAAACAAAACATTTGTCATATGACCTGCAGAAGGTATTCTGAATGCAACGTACTGTAAGCAACTTTCATAAAAACTAAATCTCAGCATTTTCTCCACTGTTACATCCGGAACACCATTCTTTAGTCTATGTATTGCTGACCATGTAAATGTAGACATTATATTCTTTCTATACTGAAATTTTTGGCTGATTGTTTATTTGTGTAAGGTTCACTTAATGCCTCCCTCCCACCAAATAATGTGTGCAATTATTTGGGGGTGGGGGGGATGCAGAGAAAGTAGAGAAATAGATTGTTAGACATCCTTCTCCTTTGTAGAATTATTTTGTCATTTCCCCATTGTCACAATTTTGAATTTAAAAAAAAAAGTAAATATATACTCCCATTCCATTCTAGACACAGTCCCTCACTATCCCTGCCTGACTTCCTACTAACCCCTCATAACATTAATTGTGTCACTGGAGCATGGAAGTGTCTGTCTCTGTTGTGTATTTGTTCTTTGTCTGCTTCACTTTGCATCTTGTTGTGAGTCTTGTCATGTGTCGTAACTACTACTTGCCATAAACATTTGCCTATTTAAATCATAAATCACAGCCCGGTCACTACTCTTCAGTCACGGAGCATGGACACTTTTAATTTTGGAGCTTAGGCTGCAAAATCCCTTTTATTCTGAAGGATGAAGTCTGGCACGAAACTTGGAAGGGCTGGAAAAAAAAAGTTAGCATACTTCATTACAAAAGTAAAAGGAAGATCACCATGTTTAAACGTTAATATATATAATCCAGCGCCACATAATTGTAGCCATGTACTGTGTGTAATTGTTTTGCATCCATATCTGTGTATGTCTATGAGAACACAAATTGGTTTTGTGTGTGCGTGCGTGCGTGTGTGTGTGTGCGTGTGTGTGTGTGTGTCTGTCTGTCTTGTGGACCCAGACACCTTTTGCTTTATGCTGAGAGGAAAAGGTGCAACCCAACACTCCTGTTGCTCCTCCACTAACTTTGTTGTCACGTTCCATTCATTCCACCCATAGGCCATGGAGCGCTGTGGCAATCGCATGTCTTCGCACACAGAGAGCGCCAGTTTCTTGCAAACTTTAACGGGACGATTGCCCACAAAAAAGGTAGAGCCACTTGCACTGGGGAGGAAACCACCCCACCCGCTTCGTGCCGTCTCACTTGTCTTGTCTGTGGATGTACAGTACGGCGTTGGATTGGTCAATGTTGTTTTGTTGGTTGTGCCGTCTTGCTGAATGTCACTGATATGCGTCTTATTTTGAAACTTTATTGAAAGTAATAATTGTAACGATTTTATAATAATGTTTCCCACCACATGAAATTGTTTTAGTCTTGCGAATGCTACACATTTGTGCACTGTTGCTTTCAAAATGTGCATGTTGTGTTTATGAATGGACATCCTTTCAGCTTGTTGTATAGCCATTTGAGCCAAGATGATGAATGTGACATGGGGTCTTCATTTTGGCAGCGCGGTGAACGAGTGGTTTGCACATCTGCCTCACAGCTCTGAGTATGGGGGTTGGAATCTGGGCTCCGGCCTTTGAGTAAGGAGTTTGCATGTTCTCCCCATGCTTACGTGGGTTTTTCTGAGTAGTCCGGCTTCCTCTGTCATTCCAAAAACATGCTTCTGAGGTTAACAATCGAAAATTGTCGCTAGCAGTAAATGTGAGTGAAAATGGTTGTTTGTGCCCTGCAATTGGCTGGCAACCAGTTTGGGGCATATTCAACCTCTCGCCTGAAGTCATCTTGGATAGGCTCCTGCTCACCCGTGAGCCTATTGAGCATAAGCGATATAGAAATTGTGTGTGTGGATCTTCATTTTCTCTGGAGCATTGATTCTCAACCATTGTGCTGCGACGAATTAGATAATCAGGTGTACTGAAAGATATTTTCCCATTTAACTTAATTGTTTTGAAAATTATTGACAAACATTTATGTCTTTGTTCATCTTTCTATGCCATGGACTTAACAGGCAGAAAAATTTAATGCTCTTCACCTATAAGGTAGAAAGTACAGTGGTACCTCTACTTACGAAATTAATTGGTTCTGGAAGAAATTTCTTAACTAGAAAATAGAGACGCGTTTTCCATGTAAATGCCCTAATCCGTTCCAAGCCCCCCCAAAATTAGGCATAAATGTTTTCTAAAGCATAAAAACACATATGTAACAAATACATGTTAAAATTAAATTATTGCACAATAAATGAGAGTTGTGCATAATGTAAAAAACAAAGAATAAAGATGATGGTCATTTCACCTTTAACTGCGTCCTCATCGTTTTTTGCCCTCTTTAGTGCATCTTCTCTCTCAGAAGTGTTTTTTGCCTGGCGTTTTGTAAAGAACTGATCCAAGGACGTTTTCTTTTGTCGGCTTTTAACAATCATTCGAAAATGCCCAAGGCAAACCATCAGCATAGTGAGCGATCGCCAGACAGGTGAACACTTTTTCTGGGGGATTCACATTCACGTAAAACTATCGTAACGCCTCATGGCCGCAGGGGCGAATGATGAGGACGCTGCATAGACACATATCTATCTATCTATACACATAGACATGTACAGTAGAGGTCCCTCTTAGCCAATGGTATGCCAGGATGATGCTCGGTAGTAGCCAATGGCAGAGCAGCTGTAAGTATGTTGCGTTCAGGAAACTCGGAGCTGCGAGTAGCAGCCCACGCTGTATTTCTACCTCTTGTATCTTGAAATTTCTTTCGTAACTAGAGGCAATATTTTCCTGTTGAGGTATTTCATAACTTGAAAATTTCGTATGAAGAGACATACATAAGTAAGAGGTATCACTGTACATAATTCCGGTAACCTATCGACCCACCTGTTCTCCTCGGAATTTATGAGCAAATTGAGACAGGATTATCATTATTTCAGTTTATTATATACTTTTTGTGATATTTATGCAATGTAAAATATGTGCCTCAGCTCAGTTAAGGTTGTGAAACACTGCTCTAGAGCATTTGTTTTCCCTGAATAAACTTCCTTGGTCAGTAAGTACCAGTACCGTTGACTAAAAGAAGCAGGGCATGAATCATAGCCTTTTTGAAAAGTGAAATTTAGGCACTTCCCATTCTTTTTTGGCTTACCTTTGGTTACAAGACTTGCAAAATGGCGGGAGTCTTGAGTATTTGTTTTGGGCTGAGGGTTTTGGGTTTGCACACGAGAGAAGAAATATAGACAATCAATTAGTTCATATATGTACTCTATATCAGTATTTCCTGCATCTTCATTTCGAGATCAAACCTCATCTTCATCAATTTCAAACCAAAGTGCGCTGGAGTTTTACTGGTTTGTAATATGGTACTGTGATAGATACTGCAAGATTATACTGCCATAAATAATATGCAGCACTTGTTTGTTTTGGTAAGCTCAAAGGCAAAGCCTGCACGATATTAAATACGTGATATGGGTGTTGGATATTGCGATGTATGTTATTGTAATATTTAATGTACCATATTTTCCGCACTATAAGGCTCTTCGGAGTATAAGGCGCACCTTCAATGAATGGCCTATTTTCAAACTGTTTTAATATATAGGGTGCACCACATTATAAGGCGCATAGAATATAGAAGATACAATCATGGCTACGGTTGCGCAATGCATCCACTAGATGGAGCTACACTAAAGGAATACAATACAATACGGCTTTATTTATATAGAGCTTTCACAACCGCTGCAACGTAACAAAGCGCTTTACAGAACATTTAAAATACTATGTCCGAGAAATCAGAATATTGATCCATATATAAGGCGTATTGGATTATAAGGCTCACTCTCGGCTTTTGAGAAAATTGAATGGTTTTTGGTGCGCCTTATAGTGCGTAAAATACGGGGGTACATAGGCAGTTTTTTTGGGGAAAAGTCAGTAGGCTCAATCTATTCTTATCCAATTAAGTTATTGAATGTTAGCAATGCCCCTAGATACTGTTCTCCTACTGGATCTGATTGGTCAAATTCTGATAAAACCATATAATTCCATCTGAATTTATGGCACGTCTTTGCGATACGCATATTGCATGTACCATTATCGCAATGACTATGATATATTGTGCATCCTTACTCCTAGCCATATTTCCTAACATTTCTAATGAAGTGACTTGGAATGAGTATACAGTTCTGAAAAGTCATGTGATGAGCTCACCCAAAGAAAATGTTAATGTTTGACATTTGGCTGAGCTCCTTTCAGTCAATATGCATTTTTTTTCTTCATTCTGTCTCTTTCTATCATCCACTGTATTCCATCTGCATCTCTGTCCCACATAGCTCTTTCACGAGGAGCTGGCTCTCCAATGGGTGGTGAGCAGTGGAAGTGTCAGGGAGGGAGCTCTACAACAGGCCTGGTTTTTCTTTGAGCTTATGGTAGGAAAAACTGACATGGAAGCTCGATCATTTAAATTATTATTATTTTTTTTTTTATCCTTGTCAGTCATAATTTTCTCCTTATGAAATACATGCAAAAACCCATTCCTCCATTTTTAACCTGGCAAACACTTGAACCGCAGGTGAAGAGCATTATTCATCACCTCTACTTCGCTGAACGCCTCGAGTCACCCAGAAAAAACAGATTCCCGGAGCGCTTTATGGATGACATCACAGCGTTGGTCAGCACCATTGCTGGTGATATTGTATCACGTTTTCAGAAGGTGAATAATGACAGGAAAAAAGATTTTGTAATTTTAAATTCAGAAATAATTTCAGAAATAACTATCGAGTCGCTGTTAATGTTTATTTTCCCAATATGTTTTTTCCTCTCTTTTTATTGTTTTGCAAGAACTTCATTAACTTCATTAATTACACACCCTATGGTTTCAGTAAGTGTCATTACATGCAAAATATAACAACTTGGGCTTTTTGTCATCAGGATCTGGAGCTGGTTGAGCGACTGAATACAAGTCTCGCTTTTTTCCTCAATGATTTGCTCTCCGTCATGGACAGAGGCTTTGTCTTCACCCTTATCAAGGCGTACTGGAAACAGGTAACCGCCTACCTAAGATTCTTGACTGTGTGATGCATTGATTGTCTCATAATAAAATGTCTTCAAAATAAATTGGAGGCAAATAGACCGAGTCGAAGACAAAAATTGTGTTTGTGGTTTTCAATATTTGATACATTTAAAGTGTATTCAGTATTGAAAGTTTCTAAATTGAGTAAACCTAATAAAAGATCTCAGGCCCTCATGACCTTTGAATGTATTTTTTCTGAAGTTGGTTTAATATACTGCCACGCCTTGCCTCGCAACAGGTGTCCACAAAGGTTTATGCTCTGCAAAACCCGACATTAGAGTCTCTCAGGCTGGATTTCTTGAGAATAGTTTGCAGTCATGAACACTATGTCACCCTCAACCTGCCTTGCAGCTTGCTCACGCCACCTGCTTCCCCATCACCGTCTGTCTCTTCAGCAACTTCACAGGTCAGATTTGCAAATTTGACACAAATTACATAAAATCAAAGGGCGTAGAATTAATGTATTTAAATATTTAAAAGGGGGACATAACTGTAGATGCACAGCTCTACATGAACAGTGGAGGTGTGTCTGTCATTTGTGTGTAACATGTGTGACTCTTCTTTTTCTTTTCACAGAGCTCTGGGTTCTCCACACATGTTCAGGACCAAAAAATAGCAAACATGTTTGAACTGTCCGTGCCCTTCAGGGAGCAACACTTTATGGCTGGGCTGGTACTGTCAGAACTGTCTGTGATACTTGACCCAGACAATGAGGGGTTAGTATATGTTTCACACATCACATATTTGAATTTGCTGACTAAAAAAAAAAGAGATTGCGTGGGTGATGAGAAAATATTGTTTCAGGCATACGAATATCCTAAATGGTGGGGTCATTTTCGGGGTTGAGCTGAGGGTTTCTTCACACTGGACAAGTTGTTTCAGTTTGATCGTGGGTGAATAGGAGTCCGGTTGAGACTCGTGGGTCTGCAGAATAACTGGTTCTGGTCAGTACACTTGAAATGTGAATGCTGCGTGGACCAATTAAACCGACTAGTGTTAATTAGAAAGCACGAGGACAACACTACAGTTTCATGGCATACAGTTTCTCTGTGTGTGTAACAGAGGATCTTACCTTACACATGGTAGAAGCACTTCATGATAGCTCAGCTGATGAAAAATTCCACCGACTTAATGCATTTGCACATGCCATATCACCCAGCAAACTGCATTCTTATGATGGAAATAATCGGATGGGTTGCATGTTTATATTCTTATGACATAATTTACTTTCCATACTTGGTTCTGTGAAAAAATGCCAGTGTGAACAAAACAAAATATACTCCAAAAAATGCAATTCATCTGCTTTTTGTCTGAATGAGAGTATACCGAGATAAACCAATGTGCTTCTATACCCCCCCCAAAAAAAATGGTAACAGGACTGTACAGTCTCAACCTTTATCAAATCACATATGTTCTGTTTTTCTATTCTTGTCCAACCTGTTTTCCTTCTTTTTCCTAGGATGTTTGGCTTGCATAAAAAAGTGGTTAGTGTTGTCCACAACCTATTGTCCAGCCATGACTCTGACCCGCGCTATGCAGATTCAGAGGTCAAAGCCCGAGTTGCTATGCTGTACCTTCCTTTGATTGGCATTGTCATGGAGACCCTGCCGCAGCTCCATGACTTCACAGGTACTAAATGAAGCATAATGGCAACTTATTGTCTAAAGCAGAACACTTTGGCACAAGTTGAGTGTTAGATTTTGTAGAACTGTCCACTTCAAGCTGATGTGTTTGATATTTGAACTTTACCTAAATGTTACTGCATTCAATTCTTGCTGTTCCTTTTTTTTCTTTTTTCCGACTTTTTTCCTCCCAGCTTTAATTCCTGTGGGTTAAACAAAGATACAGAGATGTTCCCCAAACCCTGATCTCTTTTTAGCTTCTCTCTAATGCACCAACCTCATGTTATTTTGTGCCATTTTTACCTATTTCATCATCAAAAATACATTTTGTGACACATGAAATCATCTGTGATTAAAATTTGCTGTTGAGCAATGTGATTTGTCATTCAGTCATATTTTTTTATTCCTTTCTGAACTTTCCTCCTCTTCACTTAGAGTCCCTCAACCAGTGGGGTCGATCAGGTGGCGTGCAGGGCACCACTGTCTGCAGCAATGGGGATGATGCTGAGGCAGAGGGAAACAACATGATTAATCAGACTGTTGCCATGGCCATAGCTGGCACCACTACTACCTCGCCAATGTCCCGACCAAGCAGCTTCTTGTTGAATTCGCAGGTAATCTATAAAAGCAGCATATAGTCCACACATTGCTGTGCTGCCCCCTTTGGTACGCACACAGCCTGTCGGTGGCAGTACAGTTACCGAAGTAGCGTTGCTGATTGATAATGCCCTAAAACTAAGCTCCAGTAGTCCCACAAAGTTGAGGGAATTTACACTATGCTTGTGAAATAGGATGTGATGTTTAGTTCTCGCTAATTCAGCCTTTTAGCGCAGAGCAACTTCCCGGAGTCTTCACGGAGACTTCAGGGTTGTCTACCGCTGACGAAGCTTCTGTGAGAGAAGCGAAACGTCCTTTTTTGTTTTTTTTGTTTTGTTTTTTGTTTTTTGTTTTTTACCCACAGGTACAGATGACGACTGACAGAACCCTTTCTACAATGATGATAATAATAATAATAATAATAATAATCAATTGGCTGTTATTTATATCATTCTTCATTTTTTTCCCACATTTTGCCATTTTGTCCTGTGCTTCTCTTGACCTGTTTCACCAGGCGAATCGTCAGCACGGAAGCTTCTCGGCCGAGTCAAGTCGCAGTCTGCTCATCTGTCTGCTGTGGGTGCTTAAAAATGCAGATGAGCTGGTGTTGCAGAAGTGGTTCACCGATCTTTCAGTCTCACAGCTGAACCGCCTGTTAGATCTCCTCTACCTCTGTGTTTCTTGCTTTGAATACAAGGTGAGATAACATCGCTTCCTCTGCACATTAGGTTGGATTCACACTCATGGGTTAAATGACACAATTTCCCCCAAGGAGCACAATTTGAAGGTAATGAAAAATAGGCGCACAATCAGATATCCACCGATCCTCCCACAAATGTGAATGAAAATGATCTGCTAATTTGATGATGCCATCAATGGACAGATCAGCTATACTCTGCCAATGTCTCAGTTTGAGCACTGGGTGGAATTTTACATAATGACATCCATGAATCGACATCAGAATAACAAAAACCACGAAGAAGAATGTTGAAACAATACTGTAGTATTGTATGTTGACTGTTGTAAATAAATGAATAAATAAGGAAATACAAGACAGATTGTGGAGAAACAACACTGATAAAACCCGAAAGTCTGGTACAGACCCAGACAGCGACCATCCACCCATTATGAAACGCTTTGTGGCCATCAAAGGCTTTCAAGTGCGCTGAGGACAATGAAACTCGATGCTAATGATATTAGGAGCCACCGACACATCCGTGATCGGCGAGCTATTAACTTGTTCCAAAAGCACGCTTCAACGGGCGTTATGCAACGCAGTCCAGCTCAGCAATGCCGCTGCGATCGGGCAGTGCATGTCTATTGAAAATAATATGTCTGATTTATAGTGCGCTATTTTGTACACTCAGACGCTTTAAAAAAATAAAGGAGTAAACATTGGGCACAACAAAATAAAGAGAGCCAGCATCACACAAAGAGAATAACAAAAGACAACATTATAGAATTGAAGCAAGCTAGTTTTAGCAGGTGGGTTGTGATGCCCATTCCCATGGAACGCATGGTAAGCTTTACCGCCTCCTTACGGACGTGTTATATTGACCTATTTTGCATATCTCTGGCTCCCAGAATGCATTGCACAGCACAATGGATTTATTTAATGAGGTTAGAGGGATGTTAATCTCCGCCATATGTTTTTGTTACCAGTATTCAAGGCGTGTCATATTCAACACATTTATGACAGATTTATTTTGTGCTTGGGTTTTACTGTGACTTTAGCTTGTGTGTAAAATAGTGACATCCAGGTCAATTCTTTGCACAACTTGCACTGCTCACCCAAGCAACGCTTGTAAAAACGAAGCTTTACGTCATGATGAATGGCAGGTCTATATGACCTTATCAATTAAATGCATCATACGTAATAAAGGAAACTTGGTTATAGAATAGATAAACTGTAAGTGTAGTCAAAAAATGAGTTTGTTACTTGCGTACATCTGCCGTAAATGGTCAAGAGTTCAAAAAATAAAACACCATCTGCAAACGTCGGCCATTTAGCCAATGTTTGAAGTGACTTCACCAGCCGATTTAATTGGCTGGCCTTTTAATCTGATGGATGGGTGGTGATGATCGTTTAAACCTTCATGTTGTTTTGCTGACACTGGTGTTGTTGTTCATGAACATTTCTGGCATCTATGCAAGCAGGTTGTCTAAAGTGATCCCTAAATTTAAAGACAGTGATATGATATGCGTTACCAAAAAAGAAAATGGATATAGGCATTACATTGAAATTGGTCACTTTGACCCTAGTGTCAATCCAACCTTATGTACTTTGGCTGCTTTTCTTCCTCTTTCAGAATGATTTATATTTGATTAATATGAGTCTGTCACTTTGCACGTTGCATGCATGTTTTCACGCCGTTCAACTTTCTCTGCTTCCTGAGTGCTGTGCTACAAATGACTTTGCTGCCATGTTCTCTTTTGCCACCCACTCACCCTCTACTTCATGGATACAAGGCCCATGTTGTGTTCACCATGCAGGGGAAGAAAGCATTCGAGCGCATGAACAGTCTGACTTTCAAAAAGTCGAAAGACATGAAGGCCAAGCTGGAGGAGGCCATCCTGGGGAGCATCGGTGCCAGGCAGGAGATGGTGCGACGCAGCCGTGGGCAGCTAGGTGGGCTCACAACACGCTCTGTGCAGGGGGAGATTTTAGCAATAGGATTGTGTGCATTTCACAATTTTGTACTGTGACATTGTGTGACAGTGTTTTGGTGAAGGTGGATGTTGACACACTGTGCCATGTTGTGTTTTTCGACTTGATTGAATTAATTAGCAGTTATTCAATTTCACACTGTGAAGCAGAAATCATACATATGTTGCTGGCATAGTGCTCACATTGCTGCCTTCATACCTTCTGATGATTGGTTCAGGTAGCTCGAACAGAGTTTCTAATTCCAAACTGAAATGTAAATGTGGTTAATACTATAAAATGCCACAGTCTATCACATAAACCAGGGGTGCCCAAACTTTTTTGACCGAAGATCTACTTTTTGATCAACCAACCTCCCGTGATCGACCCGTTACCGCGCACACGCGCATACGCACGCACGTACACACGGATGCCATGATGAGCGACAGCCTAACGCTGAGGCACACGACGCACTTTTGCAGCCTGTTAACGATCATAGCGCACACGTACCATTTTAAAATGCTTCTCTCAGCCCTCCAGATTCCCATTCTTTGCCCCTCCCCCCGTGAATTGTACAAAACAAACTCTGAATGAGAATAATGATAACGATGAAAGATATAGCGCAACAACTCGGATCACAAGCTGCAACTGCAGACTGCTGAGCGTTCACAACTTCCGGTGACGCAGTCACACGTCACTGTAGGTTAAAGATGACCTGCTTTATTTTATTTTGTTTTTTAAAATACTTTTTGTGAAAGTGAGACTGATTGAATGATTAGGGTGCAGTGTGCATTAACACAGAAAATATATTACTAACATGCACAGAGACACAATTTTTATTTCCTCTCCACTTCGGATCGACTTGGGACCAGTCCTTGATCTACTGGTCGATCGCGATCGACGTAATGGGCACCCCTGACATAAACCATTCATGTGCCCTCACGGCTGTAAATTAAATCGTGGCTGTCAATACAACTACAACCAAAACTTATTTTTGTACTCTCCCGGTGAATAAAGCAAATCAATCTGCTTTTCTTTTTCGTTCCCAGAGCGTAGTCCTTCAGGCAGTGCCTTTGGCAGCCAGGAGAATCTGCGCTGGAGAAAAGACATGACCCACTGGAGGCAGAACAGTGAGAGATTAGACAAGTAGGTTCTTTTCTTAATACATTTTGTTGATGCCTATTCCATCAGTAACTGTCTTCAACAACAAGGCGAGCTATACAGCCAAAGTGTTTATTCCACTGTCCTTTTGAATGAATGAAGCCGTAATGCAACAATATTCTCGCTTTGTACAGCACCTGTAGTCTTTGTTAGATAGAAACTTGTTTCTGTAGTTTGGAACTTTTCTTCCACTGTTACATTTGGGTCCTGTGTTGTTTTCACTTAATTCTTTGTATGTCGCTCTGTGTTCATGTAGGAGTCACAGATCACACAGGTATTGTACGTCGCACATTTGCTGTGTGCTCTTTTGAGTCCGTTTTCTCAAGTTCCTTGAGCAATGTGTTCACTTGCATGTGGAAGTACTTGCAGTTGTCGTGGGTGTTATTTGAGTTTAGGTTGCTAGCCAGAACATTTTGAAACACTCGTAAATTCACCGTATCTTCAATCATCAATTCCTAACTGGAAAAAATAAAAAAGCATTCAAAATTAGTGATTTGGTGCAACACGCACTTGTAATAAGTTACTGTAAAGAGTAAGTGCTGAAGATGAACAGGATATTATAGCTGAAATGGGATTTTACTAATTTTACGGTTGATTTAGGGCAATTTTATTGGATAGCATTAACTGAAAAAGGAAGAATTTTAAAACAGTATTTACTCTGAATACTTATGCAGGGAACACTGGTGTCACATGACATTGATCAGGATGTACAGTATCTGCTGTTAGCACCTCTACTTAATTGGTTAGACTTTGTAGTTGCACATGCACATGGATGCCCAAGAAACTCATTTTCTTTCCTGATGTCCCAATAACATTGTGCTTGTTTGATTTGGTGGTGGCTGAGTCTGTAATGTGTGTTGCTTATTTTTAGACAGAGGGTGGCGTGTTTTCATTCTTCCTGTAGCAGAGCAAAGCTGTTTGCCATCCATTTTTTTTCTGCCAAAGCAAATATATTTAGTTGCCTAAGTAATTTATAGCCAGCTAATCTTGCAGTATGTATGCATTCAATTTAAATGTGTGTGTATGTTGTCTAGAGCCCCCGGAAAAAAATGCTTTAACATCATAACTCTTCAGACTGGCTGTATGTGTGTATTTATATCAACATGGGGTGTGACTTGGGTCCTTTTGAAATATTTTATCAGAATCAAATTTATTGGCTATGTATGCAGGAAACACACAAGGAATGTGCTTCCCAGTTACAACGCGTTCAGAGGAACACAGACAAGACTAACATGGGGGAGACAGAACGAGAAGTCTTATTTCATTATTACAATACATTTTGATCCACATGAATACAGATATTCAACTTTAAAGCGCTCTGGAGTAATAAAGTTTCAAACTATTTACAAATAAGTGTCTATTGTCATTTTATAAACAGTTGGACATACATGAATGATTTTTGCATTTCACCAAATTGTGATTTGGTCTGAAAAGAACACTTATGAGAGTGTGTTACTGTTTTCTTCAAGTATAGCCATCATGGCAGTGCTCAATGAGATTGGTCCCGCAATAATTATTTGAAACACGTGTAACCACAAATCTGGCAAAAATACATTTTCGGTGCAACTGGTAAAGTTTAAACCACACAGTAGAAGTCCATCTGTCCTCGATTTGATCATTGTAAAAGCAACTATGTCCTCTTATGGGCTTCAATTAAATGGAATTTGACCTTTACACCTCTCAGACCTCCAACAGCACATGGAAGCATGAAGACAGACAGCTCGTGTAAAAAGTCGATACTGCACTGCAAAAATTGGCTCGACCACGGGTGGTGGAGATTGGAATCTCCCATAACGTTCCCTTTGATGCACAACTAAAACCCTGGCCCGGCTTTCTGTTTCTGTGATTGTAGGACAAGAGCAGAGTTGGAGCATGAAGCACTTATTGACGGTAACCTTGCGACAGAGGCCAACTTGATCATTCTTGATACTTTGGAGATCATTGTGCAGGTTTGTGAGTGAACATGATTTTATGCAGAGATGTGACCAAAAATAAGGATACGGATCAATTTAATCTGATACTGTCAGAGAGATGCGCCTATTATTTTAGTGTATGAAGCAGCTCTTGGATTGGATTGTGTGCCTAATATTGTGGCTGTGTGTGGATAGTTATTGTGGTATGTTGTTAGCCAGTAACTGTTGATGTATCTCTATCTCTCTGTTTCTCTAGACCGTATCGGTGACAGAGTCCAAAGAGAGTATCCTCGGTGGGGTGCTGAAAGTGTTGCTTCACAGTATGGCCTGTAATCAAAGCGCCCTCTACCTTCAGCACTGTTTTGCTACACAGCGAGCACTTGTGTCAAAGGTGGACTATCTTTATTTCACAGTTACATCATTTGTGTACAATCATGTTTTGGTCTTAGATTTTGTCAATGTGGCTTTCTGTCTGCCTTTTTTTAGTTTCCTGAACTGCTGTTTGAAGAGGAGACAGAGCAGTGTGCTGACCTGTGCTTACGACTGCTAAGGAGCTGCAGTAGCAGTATAAGCACCATCAGGGCCCACGCCAGCGCATCACTCTACCTCCTCATGAGGCAGAACTTTGAGATTGGCAACGTGAGCGCAAGCCAACAAGTCATGGGTTGCTGTCGAGTTTTTACTTGATGGATAGACACCTTTGATGATGAATTGATTTTTGATAGGCCTTTCTAGGCTGTGTTATTTAACGCTTGTTTTGTCTGCTAGCTATGATGAATTGATTTTTGATAGGCCTTTCTAGGCTGTTATTTAACAACGCTTGTTTTGTATGCTAGCTGTTAAGCCGCTCAACGTCTGACATTACAGTTGTCGTGATAAAGCATTCTTTTCCTCGTGCTGCTCCTGATTTTTTTTTTTCTTTTTCATTTTTAGAATTTTGCAAGGGTGAAGATGCAGGTGACGATGTCTCTTTCATCATTGGTGGGAACATCCCAGAATTTTAATGAGGAGTTCCTGCGTCGCTCTCTGAAGACCATCCTTACTTATGCAGAGGAGGACCTCGAGCTTCGGGAAACAACTTTTCCAGACCAGGTACTAAATATATTGTCCAATAGTCAATGCCATTCATTCCAGTTTAAAAAGCCAAATGATATTTCGTTTATTATTTGTGCTTCGTTAAACCTTAGAGCAGGGGTGTCAAATTTATTTTTGTCGTGGGCCACATTGTAGTTACAGTTTCCCTTGGAGGGCCGTTATGAATTTTTGGAAACCATATAATGTTTAATCACGTCCAGAGATTACATACACAGCGCACAACAAATGGATGGATAACTATTTTTTAAATCAGAAGTCGAGACGAGAAATAATGACTGTTATTGTGGATTACATTACAATTTGAAATTTTGGTTCAGACTTTAGCAAACATCATGGAACTTGACATGCTTGATTTGCTTTCACGGTCCACATAAAATTATGTGGCAGGCCAGATCTGGGCCCCGGGCCTTGACTTAGAGAATGTTTGAAAGAAGTAATCTATGCACTAGTTTCAATGCCCTCACTCTTTTTTTCTAGGTGCAAGACCTTGTTTTTAACTTGCACATGATTCTGTCTGACACGGTCAAGATGAAGGAACACCAGGAAGATCCTGAGATGCTAATTGATCTCATGTACAGGTACTGTACAAAGCTGATGAATGTTCAGGAAAATCAATTTTAGTGTATCCCTCTTTTGTCCTTACCAATACTGTATTTTCACGACTTTACGGCGCTCCATATTAAAACGTACGTTAGCTTAAAAAATACGGTAGCATGCATGCACTCTCCCGTATGTTTTTAAAAATGCAGTGGGTGCAAAACTTAGTTCAGTTGTACTTTATTCAAGGACAATATGTACTCGTTATTTTTTGATTAATCCATCTCCACAAATCTGTCAAAGTCCTCATCTTCTGGATCCGAAATGAACAGCTGGGCAAGTTCTCCATCAAACACGCCAGGTTTCTTTGCGTCTTTGTCAGGGTCAGTCTCGTTGCCGTGCGGCTCCTCAGAAATAATGCCGTCTTTTGCAAAAGCTCGAACAACAGTGCAAGCAGACACGTTAGCCGAAGCATCCACAGCCCATTCACAAATTCTGGCGTAACTTGCGCGGCGCTCCCTCCCAGTCTTAAGGGGTGTTCACACGGCAACATTTGCTCCGGTGCTGCGCCGCTGCTACCCCAGTAGAGCGGTCACACGTGTAGTTACACTGGTGTAGCCCCTGAAAACAGCTTACTCCGGAGCAAATTTAACCCACCTCAGGGAGGTGGTTTAAAAATTTGCTCCGGAGCAAATGCTCGTTTGCGGGGCAGCACCGATGTAAAATGGTACGTGTTAACGCTACAATTTGCTTCGGAGCAAATGCTCGTTTGCGCGGGGGTTAGCCTCGCTACGCATTAGAAGAGTTGATTGAGAATTTGCTTCGGAGCAAATGCTCGTTTGCGGGGGGGGGTTAGCCTCACTACGCATTAGAAGAGTTGATTGAGAAGAATTCCGTCAACTGTTTGTCTAATAACGACACAAGACATGATGGCGTTTGACTGGTGCTTTAGTAGATTATAGAATGGCAACTGGCAATAACAGTTGCAAGCGGCACCTTGCCTCTTGGGTTATACCATCTCAACTAGAAAGGGGGGGGGTAGTCCCCAAACATCATCTTTCCTTTTGTAGGAGACTAGACTGTCTCGGAGTTGTTTGTGTAGTTTGTTCCTTTGTTGTGTGTTCACAACACCCCCGGCCCAAGAATTTATTTTGTGATTTCATCTCTTGATTTTCTGTTTGGTGCATTATATGTTTGCTTTTCTGAGTGTCATTGAAGTCATCGTTGATTTACGTTTTCGGGGGCGGTCATTGAACGCCTCTGGAGCAGAAGGCACGGAGACCGAGAAGGAGAAGGACGTGCCTGTACAGCAGTTGCATGAGTTGTGTATGTTTTAAAAAGAACCAACACGACAGCTCTTTGTTTTCTATCGTTTTGCACCGCTGCAAAAACTGCCGTGTGACCGCAAGTGGGGCTGCACCGGTGCTACACCGGAGTTAACACTCAGCGGCTTTGTACGTGTGACCGCGCCACAAAATTTGCTCCGGTGTAAAATATACATCATCCATACAAAATACAAATATACACAACAAAATACATCGGTGCAGCACCGGAACAAATGTGTGCCGTGTGAACATCCCATAAGTAAAGCTGTATTCACCATCGCTCCCACGCCACTTCACTTTGAACGCCCTGTTAACACCGATGTCCAGTGGTTGGAGTTCCTTCGTTAAGCCTCTCGAAATGATGGCAAGCTCAGAGTTCATTTACTGCACTTGTTTTTTCACAGTGGCTGTGAGGTGGCCGTACATTCAGTCACAGATCAACAGGCACGTGTGGATGAATACATCCGGTCTTTTTATGTACACCACACTCAGCCACTCTCTCATTTTCTCCTGGTCCATCCAGCCCTTTAGATTGGCCTTAACGATGACTCCGGCTAGAGGCTTTTCTTTTAGGCAGCATCTTGGATAGTTCCTATTACCATGGCAACCAAGCACAACACCAAAGCCGACTTCTCGCGCCCCGCTGTGCATATCGCGAGCGTGCTGGTCCCCTTGTTCTCTGCAGTGGGGTTCACCAGGATGTCGAAAGTGAGCGGCACTTCGTCCATGTTGATGATGTGATTGGGCTGAATGTATTTGTCGGCAATCTTTTTATTGTATCTTAAAATGAAAAGTAGGCTTGTGCCTCTTCACTTGGCCCAAGCGAACAGTCAGTAATGGAAGCCAAGTGAGGCCGGCAGAGCGGCATAAGAAAGGATTAAAATCTCCAAAAAAGAATCATTATTTAATGCAATGCAGAACATTGCACTGCAGTTGGAGCAGAAGATGGACAGCTTTACCTTGTAATCCGCCGGATGTTGCTGCACCACGGTTGTCCTCGCCCGGATGGATCGATGGCACTGTTTCATAAAACAAAAGCACCAGCACCATGCATTAGTTAATCTTGAATGCTCTCATGGCTACTCGATTCCCATGATTCTCCACATAACTGATAGCTTGCAGTTTAACCTGTGCTTCGTAAACGTGTCTCTTCATAGGGGCCATTTTCAGGCGTCCTTAGTCAAACTGCGGTTGAGGAGAATGCACATCCCAGCATTTTTTTACACGTACCGGGGCCATGCCTTTAGTGCCGTCTTTCACACAACCCTTCCCATTTGAACATCTGCATGCTGTCCTCAGTTACGTTCGCCTTTCCTCTATATAAGCAACGTGTCGGCCCAACATTAGTCACGCGCAGTGCTCGTCGAAGTCACACAACACCATTCACAGAATTTGAAACTCGGTGCATACACAAGACGCCCCACATTATTAGGCATCCCTTTAGACCGGGGGTCGGCAACACGCGGCTCCGGAGCCGCATGCGGCCCTTTAGCGCCGCCTAGTGGCTACCTGAAGCTTTTTAAAATGTTTGAAAATGGAAAAAGATGGGGAGTGAAAATATATTTTATGTTTGAGTACGGTTTCTGTAGGAGGACAAACATTCTTAACATTTTTCAATGCTGTAAAAATATGTCGAATAAATATTAGATTTCAACATTTCTGTCAACGAAGATTTGCGTCATAGCCTGCGACACACGTTTCTATTTGCAGGACGGGATGCCAGGCCGGTGGCTGTTGCAAAAAACAAACAAAACAAAACAACAGCCTTTCATGTACAATTCACTGAGGGTACTGGCAAAGAATGGGAATCTGGAGGGCTGATCGAAGCATTTTAAAATGGTACACATGAGCTAAGTAGTTAACACCCTGCAAAAGTGTGTTGAATGCCTCCGCATCTGGTCTCAACGAAGATAGGTAGGCACGTGTGTGTAAGTGCGCGCGTGTGCGGTAACGGGTCAATCGGGGAAGGTTGGTTGATCGAAAAGTAGATCTTCAGTCAAAAAAGGTTAGGAACCCCTGCTCTACAGGATGCAGTGCAGGGAAAAATATAGTATTTGTAGCCAACTTAGTCATTTTGATAGTAGGCTAATATGGATAGATACAGCATGTGTTGCCTTCATTACTAGGCTTATAGAAGGCTTTTGTTTTTTTGCGGCTCTTGGCATTTGGTTTTTTTTTTTTTTTTGTCCTTATGTGTGTTATTGCTTGTAGAATATTTCATCCAACGTGCTGGAGGAATCTGCCGTCTCGGATGATGTGGTGTCACCAGATGAGGAAGGCATCTGCTCGGGAAAATATTTTACAGAGCTGGGGCTTGTGGGACTCTTGGAGCAAGCTGCTTCATCATTCTCTTTGGTGTGAATGCTTGGAATATGTTAACATACAAGTGGTTCCGTTCTGAATTGACATTTTTTAATCCCAAATCCTGATTGAACATTTTTCGATTATTTCTGTTTTTTCCTATTAGGCTGGCATGTACGAGGCTGTGAATGAAGTGTACAAGGTACTGATCCCCGTCCATGAAGCCAACAGAGATGCCAAGAAGTTAGCCACCATTCATGGTAAACTACAGGAAGCCTTTGGCAAAATTGTCCATCAGGTAAATATGTATGATACTATAATGTCATCCGAACACCGACTGTATACAGCTTTAATAGATGCGACCTGCTATTTGTTTTATGCCGACCGACATATGTGCACTTTTTTCCAGAATGACGTTCTGAGTTCATATTTAAATTGACAAAATACATATTTACAGATTTTATCCTTGACAGAATTAATGACATGAAAAAAAAATAAAAAAAACCTCAACATGTCGGGTTCAGCACTTCTTTTTCTCACTCTCATTTTCCCCCACACTTTGTTGTTATATTCAGAAGTGCTGCTGGATAAAGTGAGTTCAGAATACAACAAGATGAGGGCGAGAATATTGATTCATTAATGTAGCTCCAGTATCCCGTAATGTGTGGCTTTAGGCAGAAAGACGTTCCTGATATTTTTCTCTTCCTATACAGTATAGGCATGTACCTGTTTCAGATGGTCGGTCTCGAATACAAGACCAAATACATATTTACAGATTTTATCCTTGACAGAATTGACATTTAGAAAAAAAACAATGCAATGTCGGGTTCAACACTTCTTTTTCTCACTTTCATTTTTCCCCACACTTGAATACAACAACATATTCAGAAGTACTGCTGGATAAAGTGAATTCAGAATACAGCAATATGAGGGTTATAATGTTGATTCATTTCTTCTAGCAGCAGTCATTAATGTAGCTTCAATATACTGTAATGTGTGGCGTTAGGCAGAAAGACATTCCTGCTATTTTTCTCTTCCTATATAGGCATGTACCTGTTTCAGATGGTCGGTCTTGAATACAAGACATTATAATGCATATTATGGGAGTTTTATTGCAGGAATAGATTATTATACTGCACCATATTTCAAGTGCTACTTTTGCAAATTTCTCAATGCATATTATGGGAGTTTTATTGCAGGAATAGATTATTATACTGCTACTAAGTGCTATTTTTGCAAATTTCTTGCATGAATTACTCTGTCTGTGTTGGGAAAGTTTGCCTCATATATTTTAAGGGATTTGGCCTTGAATCAGTAGCAAGTGCCCTTTTGTTGCTGTAACGTCACTAAACATGTTGAGTGTTACTGTACATCGATCGGGGTTGTGAGTGTGATGTGGTTCACTTGTCCTGTGTTCTCTTTTACACACAGAGTACTGGCTGGGAGGTAGGTGGTTAAATGGTTCCTGCTTGGCCCTGCTCGACTATTGTTTCCATAATATTTATTTATTTGTTTGACAGTTTTATTTGTGTTCACACTCATTTCATTTGCTAGCCACAGATGTTCTGTTTCTCGCTTTGCTTTTCACATACAGTACGTCTAGTCCATTAACATCTGCAGACAACATTGAAGGTCTGCTGCAGTCAGGGACACCTGCTGCACTGGCAGCAAAACCCTTGTTTTCCCTCTCACCTCTCCCTTCCCTTCGTGCGAGGGGGGGGGGCTTTTTTTTAACGTGACACCGTTAACCGGCTGTGTGCATGGGAGCCACAGTGTTTGACACTAAAAGTCTCTGAATGCATCACATGCGCACTCTCCTTGTCTTCATCCTCTCTCCATCCGAGGTGCCGGCCAGAACATAGATATTTGGCTGACAACTCCACGTTTTGTCTATCCACCCAGGGCTCGATTTCAGTGCAGTGGCTTGATGTCACTCTCTCTGGTTTAACCACCATGTGTTTCATTCATAATTGACTTTCGACTTTTCATCGGGTTGAAGTCTGAGATTATCAAATGACTCCCAATGATTGTCTAAAAGCGCTCGCTAATCTCTTGCTCAATTTTTATATTATTCTTACCCCTGCGCCCCTTTTCATTAGTTTCAACTAAATCGATCCCTGTTTATTCTGGTTTGATTTGTTTGATCTGAAATGATTTTTAATAACCATTCATTACTTTGTTTCCTGGTTTGTTGCATGGACAGAGCACTCGTTTCTTCAGAAACTGCACAAAACAGTGCATGAAATGTTTTGAAATTGTGGAGCTTTTTTTTCCACCTCATTTATTTATCTATTGATAGTTTTTTTTCTTTTGTTTTTCCTTGTATCCGTCTACCTTTGCATGGTTCATTTAGTTCCTCCACAATCTGTTAGTGTTCTTAAAAAAAAAATGTTGGTGCTCATGCTAACCTCAGTGTTAATTTGTGTTGTTTTGAAAACATTTTGGAGGAAGTTAAATCTCATTAAAATTTGTTCTGTTTTCTCCTTTTTGATTTTCCTGGTTCCCGATCCCTCCTTCCCACTTTACTTAATTGTTTCTTGTGGTAAGTTTTTTTTTTTTTTTTTTTGGTTTTGTTTGTTTTTGGGGCTTCTCACAATTCATTTACCCTAACAGCAAATTTTAATCCGAGATGGCTTTGTGTCCCTAAATGTTATTTTGACACTGATTCAAAAAAGTCCTTTATTTTTCCTAGCACGTCAGATTTTTGAGATTTTCATTTTTTGGGGGTGTGTGGGGTTATTTAATTTGGACCTATAAAAGCTTGAGCAATACAGATTTTACTATATGCTGCCATTTATAGCTATGCCATTTCCGAGAAAATAAAAAATCTCCCTGTAGCTGAACCTTTAATTTATAACTATTACTAAATACCGTATTTTCCGCACTATAAGGTTTTTCGGAGTATAAGATACACCTTCATTGAATGGCCTATTTTAAAACAGTTTTCATATATAGGGCGCACTCCATTAGAAGACGCATAGAATAGAACAGTGTTTTTCAAACCCTGTGCCAGTGTGCCACGAGATATTGTCAGGTGTGCTGTGGGAAATTACACAATATGTATGCCTGTAGGGTCGATCGCCTGGAAGAGTAATCATGTAGTACTGTTCCATACCGGTAGGGAGCAGCAGCAGCTAGGAAATTGCCTTATGCTTCGAGACAAGCGAAGTTTCCAACGCGAGGCAAAACAATGAAAGGTAAATTTCATTTAGATTTATGTTTACTGGAAATGCAACAGCACCAATGTTCCCTCTGAGATCCGCAACTGCGCACTGGTCGCACACACTCATCGCACAAGAAAACCTATCCAGTGCACTTTTTTTCTGTATCAATTTGCTGTGTAATTCAGTGAGTGACAGGTGTCCAGCCAATCACACGATACGATGCAATGACGCTATACAGCCAATCACGGCATTGACAGTACTTGCGCATGTTTTCTGCTCGATAACAATAATGGTGCCGCGGTGATAAGTGACGCTAATGCTAATCCTTTATCATGGCGAAACGACCGTGCAGTGAACGTGATACGTTGACTCCCCAAACCAAAATAAGAATGAACTGCGATTCTTTTAAGTTGGAATGGCTGTTGCAGTATGTGCAAGTAGAAGAACAAGCAGTGAAACTGGGTGAGATATTTTCTCTTTCGAGGAGAGCACAAACGACCGGGAGAGAAAGAAACGGCTGTCACTCAGACAAAAATCCGACCCTGAGCAAGTTAAAGTTCTAATTGACTATATTTTACTTGCCATTAAAACGAATGCACCAAGTATTGGATTGATGTTGATTTGATTCCTATTCAACGTGTAATAACATTGCGTTAATTTTCAATGTTAAAAAAACGCTTATAGTAACAATGTTAACACTTAATTGTTAAAATAATATTTTTTCACATTTTCAGGCCGTGGTGTGCCGCGGGATTTTTTCATTTAGAGACATGTGCCTTGGCTGGAAAAAGACACTGGAATAGAAAATACAATCATGGCTGCGGTTGCGATATGCATGCACTAGATAGAGCTATGCTAAAGGGAATACAATGCAATGCAGCTTTATTCATATAGAGCCTTCACAACTGCTGCAGCTGTAACAAAGCCATTAGAACTGGTCACAAACACGGACATGAAACATAAATACAAATGGCATTACAAAACAATAAACAAAAGAAAAGTTGCAGTCAATTGATTAAACAAAAAGGATCACATCAACAAGAGGCTAAATATCCTTAGAAGTCTTGCTTGTCTTCTTCTTCCTTCATTTAGTCAATCGTTAACTAAGCTTTTGTTATTATCTTAATTTCATAATGGCTGTGCAGAGCTCACAAAATAGTTGCTAATAATCACCACTAGTTGGCATAAGAACACTAACGGAAACAACTCAGTGGGGAATATAAAGAGACTTTAACACCATATATTAGGTGAATCGAATTACAAGGCTCACTGTCGGCTTTTGAGAAAATTGAATACTTTTAGGTGTGCCTTATAGTGCAGAAAATACGGTATATTACATATTATTTTCTTATATTTTGTTAGGATGAAAACCTGATGTGCTAGAGTCAAAAACTTGGGCAGATTTGGAATCGGTACAAAAAATTCATCTTGAAAAATTTCTCTGATTAAAAAGAAAAAAAAATGTAAAAATGTATTGATCTGTGATTAGTAGATTTACTTTTATTCTTCCTGGCCTATCTGCTTCTTTTGGTGGACGAATGTATTGCACATATAGATTAGTGGGCTGTATTTTAAATTGGTTGGTGCTAGGTTAGGGCCCTTTTGTCATGCATCAGCTTATCCGCCCTGATGACTTGCTTTAGCAAGACCTCGTCTTGTTTGATGTTTACTTCATCAAGTGAAACACCCCGGATGTTTCCTGAATTTTTTTTTTCGCGAAATATGTTGCTGTTCATGTACAGCTGGGTGGTTTGTTGCTGTTGAGCTGTGGTTATTTCTAACATGACAATGTAATATATGTGACGCAGGCTTCCAACACAAATTGACTTTTCAAACAAAACTTACATTTTATAATCCATGCAGAGTGATGAGACCATATCGAGTTTTGCCACATTCTTTTCCAGTTTGCCCTGCATCACGTTAAGAAAACGCTCAATGTACTGTAATTTCCGGACTATAATCCGCTACTTTTGTCACACGCGTTCAACCCTGTGGTTTATTTTATGATGCGGTCTGTTTAAAGATTTTTCCAACGGCCGCCAGGGAGCGGTCGAGCAGAAAAGCTAACAGTGAGACGCTATCATGCGTCACTGAAAACAAACGGCCATGAGAGGGCGCATTTCACCTGTGTTTTGAGATGGACTGCAATCCAAAAGCTGTGTGGCTGGGTCTATGACAGACTTGACCAAACACAAAATAATTTTAATGAAGGCTTTATTCCCGACTGAACATAGAAAATGTGCAGCATTAATAAAATAAAAGACTGAGATATGTCAAATAGGACTAACAAACAGAAAAGTATACAAAAATAAACAACAGTAGTGGCTTGTGAGCACCTTCCGACATGTTGAATGCTCCCGAAACATAAGCAGGTCCAAGTCTCACGAGATTTGCCACGAGATTATTCAACGCTCCTTTTAAAGTGGCAGTGCTCCATTTATTAAACAAGGCAACATTCACTACAAATGTCATAGTATTGTTCACCTGGTTACATATGCCAAAAGAAAACCTTCCGAAAGATATTGTTGTGAAGTTGACACAAAAGCGTGAATGGTAGAAAGCCTAATGAAGGAATGGTTGACTGAAGGCAAGCAAGGATTTTTTTCATTTTACAACAAAGCATTCGTCGACAGAGAGTCGACCAAACCAACGGTGTGAATTCTGTTTTACTTCCGCAGTGAAAGAAAAGTTAAAGTATGTTATTAAACGTTGAATATAGACAAGTGCGGCTTGTGTGTGTCCAAAATGGTTTTTCCTTTAAAAATGTCCTTTAAAAATGTAGTGGGTGCGTCTTATAATCAGGTGCGCTCTATAGTCCGGAAATTACGGTAAATGGTAGCGAGTCACAATTTCAAATGTATCTTTAAATCTTGAGGAACTAGTTATTTATCTCATAGCAATGTGTTGTTTGTTTCAAATCTTTCTAAATTCCAGTGAGGTGTCAGTTGGCATGTGTTATAAGATAAGAACACCTTTATTCATCTCACACTGGAGAAATTCATCCAAGATTGGATCACATTTGCACGAGGGAGGGATTTTCCCTTTTTCGATCAGGAACCGTGGATTCAAATTTTTAGATAAGCGGGTCAGAAAATGTATGAATGGATGGAATTCATGTCACAAAGTCAAAAACTTCAACCCATTGTAACTTGGTTGTTCTGTAGTTTTCCCCTTGAGACAACATTGTGATTAATTATTGTTGTGTGCGCGTAATGGGATCCGTAGAGGCACTGTTGACTCCTTGGAGTACTTAACACTTTTGCTGAGCATTGGGAATCAACAGAAATGTGTTGTGATGTAAGTTGCATTCCTGTTTATGTTGCACTTAGACATTTTTTCTCTTGTCTCTTGTCGACAGGATGGGAAGAGGATGTTTGGAACATACTTTCGAGTTGGGTTTTATGGTTCCAAATTTGGCGACTTGGATGAGCAGGAGTTTGTGTACAAAGAGCCAGCTATCACCAAGCTGGCGGAAATATCTCACAGACTGGAGGTGAGGTGAAGACACAGATGGCACGGCGATGATTATGGTCAAAATGCCCCATATTCGGTCTCGGCACATTTCACAAGCCCATAATGATGATATCAAAAATGACTTATGTTGAGTGCATGTGATTTTTAATAAATTAGTGAAATTGGTGTTGTTTGTACAATTATAAGGGGCAGCGGGGGGTTCCATTTTGGAATAAGGCTGTAACTTAGTGTGGAAAAAGTGAAGCACTTTGAATACTTTCTGGAGCATAGATAAGTACAGTCTGATAAGACCTCATTAAATTAGGCAGGTGTGCCACTTAGCGTTGAATGCACTTATTCATTATTTTTTAAGTCCATAGGCCACTTGTTGATTGATCATGTTCCAGGAGGCGGTTCAGTACTTCCATCCAAAGTGTTTCATTTAAGAACAAAGGTTGAAGTTGTCCACGAATGATTAAATGATTTCATTGATTTTCATACTTTTTGGGGGGTTTTGTTTTTAGGGTTTTTACGGAGATCAGTTTGGAGAAGATCAAGTCGAAGTCATTAAGGACTCCAACCCGGTAGACAAGTGCAAGCTTGATCCAAATAAGGTTAGTGTTCGACACTCTTCACCTCATTCATTCATTCAGTAAAACGCAAAACGAACTCGTCCGTCGTTCTCCAGGCCTTCATCCAGATCACTTACGTGGAGCCCTACTTTGACACTTACGAGATGAAGGACCGCATCACCTACTTTGACAAGAACTACAACTTGCGTCGTTTCGTCTACTGCACCCCCTTTACGTTGGATGGGCGGGCCCACGGCGACCTGCACGAGCAGTTCAAACGCAAGACCATCCTGACCACCTCCCATGCCTTCCCTTACATCAAGACACGCATCAACATTGTCCACAAAGAGGAGGTAAATCGGACAAGATGGTAGATGGTGGGAGACCACGCTGTTTACACCGTGTGTCTAGTGGGATGAATGACGCTGTCTCTTTATGCCTCCTTTTTTTTTTCCCAGATTATTTCCACTCCCATTGAAGTGGCCATCGAGGACATGCAGAAGAAGACGCAAGAACTTGCCTTTGCTACCCACCAGGACCCTTCTGATGCCAAGATGCTGCAGATGGTCTTGCAGGGCTCAGTGGGCACCACTGTCAACCAGGTGAACTTTTAATGTGCTCAAAAGATATTTGATCAAATGAATTTTAAAAAAAAAAAAAAAAACGGTAATGGCTTCTTAAACATTTTGAAATAAGTGTCATTTTTATGTATTGTCCAGGGTCCTTTGGAGGTTGCGCAGGTGTTCCTGTCCGAAATCCCCAGTGACCCAAAACTGTACAGACACCACAATAAGCTACGTCTGTGCTTCAAGGACTTCACAAAGAGGTAGATAGTTTCACATCGCAGGTCCGAGTGCCAAATTCTATTTAACCACCCCCCCCACCCCCAAAAAATGCAGAAAAACAAAACAACTGCCAACTCATATTAGCCGTTTCTAGTCATGACTCCCAGATACACTTTATGCAGTGAAACTCCTCTACAACGAAATCATGTTTGCAGAAAGAAATGTTTCACAACAGAGGGTGGGGGGAGGGGAATAAATTGCGAAATTTATGATCAGCATTCACTTTCACTGACATCAATTTCTTGGAATATGTCTTTTATTTCGCTTCCTCCGTCTTTCATTTTGATCACTTTTCCCCTCTCTTCCAGCGTCAGAGCTCTTCTTGTCTTAGCTGCTTGACATCCAAAGGCCCGTTTTGTAGCCATTTTAGCAATGAAACGTTCTTGCTGCGTCTGAAACGAACAATAACAGATACTTCCTGGACTACTGCGCATGTGTAAACCAGTGCGGTGGTTGCTGTTGCCTTTCCGAACGAAGCAGTAGAGGGCACTGTTGGATTAGATTTCGTTGTAGTGAATGCCTTCAGGAGGCAAGAACAGAGAAAAAGATTTTGTATAGCGCAGCAGGGCTTTTTTTCGTTGTATGGGGGGCAGGAGAGTGGGAATGGTGTTAATGCATGAAGATTTTTTCACACTAGGGGATATTTTCGCCCATGTAGGTTTCATTGTAGAGGAGTTTCACTGTAGATGCAAAAATTGACAAATACAGTATTACAATACGTCCATTCAGCCATCCATTTTCTAATCAGAATCAGAATCATCATTAATGGCCAAGTATGTAAAACACACAAGGACTTGGTCTCTGGTAGCGAGAGAAGCAAGCAGGAGGAGCTAACGGTACGCGCAAGCTACCATAGTGATGTTTCTGCAGCTTAGCACGCTGCAAAAGTGCGTCCCTGCCTCCCTGTGCGATTTTCTTTTGACAAACTCGGTCTTGTCTCGCATCTTGTTTATTTCATTCACGTTTGGTTCCGTTATGGCTGATGGTCATCATGGCACGCGTGCGCTAACGGGTCGGTAGGAACGGATGGAATGATCAATAAAATCGATTGATAGGCTCTTGTCCCTGTGGGTTAACAGCACACAGTTCTGGTTATTAATGGTGCATTTGGACTAACCTTCGTCGCAGGTGTGAAGATGCCCTGCGTAAGAACAAGAGTTTGATCGGTCCTGACCAGAAGGAGTATCAGAGGGAGCTTGAAAGGAACTATCACCGCCTGAAGGAGGCGCTCCAGCCGCTCATCAACAGAAAGATTCCTCAACTCTACAAACCTGTGCTACAGGTCAACTCACACAGGTACGGGTCTTCTCTCTGGCTCAGAGTACGACCTTATCGGTTTAGTTCGTTCCCTGGCCAAGCTCATAACTTTTTTTACTCATACATTAACTCAGTATGATCCATAAGTTAAGGTAGCACTGTTGTTTTGTAAAAAGCCAGTTTAATGAGTCGTTGCTTTTGCTCTGTAAAAAAATCATGCAACATAATAACACAACTGGATTCTTTTGGACCACCTGTGCTGTTGAATTGTTTGTTGACCCCGTTTGTAAACCTTTGCATAAAAGGTGCAGATAGTCAGATCAGATACGTGTACTGCACTTGCAGGATCACAAGGTTTGTTTTGCGTTCGGTTTTTCTCCAGGTGCTCACACATTCCAAAAACATGCATGTTAGGTTCAAAAATCAAAGCACAGTTGAAGAATGTTTGACCAATTCTATATGGAGTCAGCACATTAAATCCATTTTTCTGAGGGAGCCTTTTTAAGATGTGACTCACAAATGCCAATAAAAACTCAACACAATATGAAGAGAAGCTGCATGTGACAAAAGAAAAACGTCATTGTTGTCTTTTTCATTTTTATTGTTTTTTGAAGGCTGCAAATCTAAACTTGGCCTCCTTCTCTCTCTCTCCCTTTCCAGAGATTCTTTCAGCAGATTGAGTCTTCGCAAAATTGACATTTGAAGATGACGGGAGTACGTACGCACAAAGCGCCACCAGAAGATGCAATATTAATTTATTCTTGAGTGTAAATAGCAGCGTGTTCAGAATAGGTCACCGTGTTTGTTACTGAAAAAGGCTTCAAGTGTTCCAACTTGGTATTTCATTCCAGTGTCTTAACTTGTTTACACAACTCGATCAGCAGGATGAACAAGTGGGTCCGATTTTAAAGAGACACCTTGACCTTTTTAGATTTGGGGAACATTTTCCCCAGCGGCTGCCTTGGTATAATGTAAGCCTTTTCTCCAGAGGTACGAGACCTCGCACGCTGTGAGCTCCCAAGCAACCGGTACCAGCAATGTTCACATCCCGTTATTGGTTCCAAAAAGTGCCAAAAAAACTTTTTAACGACAAATTCTAAAAATTCAAATGTCAAGGTGTCTTTTTAATATGTTTGAAAAAAAAAAACGGTATTTAATGTGTGCACTTTTTTTGGGTGTTTCTGGTGTAGCAATGCATTTCACAACTTGAAAGCTAAAGGTATGTGGGAGAGGGATGATGAAATTAAAATTTGCAAAAAAATTATTATTTATCATGTTGCTTTATCACATTTTTGTTAAAACGTCAATGTTTTAAAGTTAGGTACTGAAAATGTATAATTTTATGTAGTTCTGTTTTGTTAATTTTAAATATTTTACTAAATAAATATTTTAATGTTCAGGCTGATGCTGGTGATTAATTTGTGCCTCGTGCAAATGATTGACAGCACAGGTGTCAAAGTCCGCTAGCCTGCATGTTTTAGATCATCTGAATCAGTTTGTTGGAACGGGGGAAACGTCGAAAACATGCAGGATAATAGCCTCGAGGACTAGGGTTTAACACTTGTGATTAAGAGTGTAGAAGTCAGTCCTCCTCAAAGGAAACCACAACTTAACCAAGACGTCTCTCTGACTCATTGGCTCTTCTTTTCACTTTGAGGGCTTTATTTTCTTGCCCGGCATAAAGTGCAGTCTAACTGCGCATGTGTCGAGGTTTCTTTCTTTTGGTATTTTCGGAGATGGGTGTCGATGGAAATGTGCTTGCGCCATTGTGGGAGTGAACACAGCTGAATTCATTCCTGACCAATCAAAGCAGGTCCTCACATGCGGTCAACATTGCGAAAGCAAAACAAACGCACTCACTGGATTCAATGCAGGAGATTGACCTGCACTGAGTATGTTAATGAAATGAATACATTCTAAGTTAATAATTATTTACAAAACACAATAGCTATTAGTTTGACCATTAAATATCTTGTTAAATACAAGTTGAACCTGATTTATAAATCCATCCAGTAATCTGTTTTTATGTTTAACACAGCCCAACTTCATTGGAATTGGGTTTGTTTCACTTGACTTTTCTGCTTTTTTTTTGGCATTTATATCTAAACAATATACTAAATAACAAACACGAAAAAATGTCACTTTGATTGCAAAATATTTATTGCGAGATAAATGACCTTTGCATGAAGTTGTCATGAAGGTTGAACAACTATGTGTTTGTGCGCCTGCGTTCATCAAGGATGACGATAGGACAATGTTTTTTTTTAATTTGAAAAAAAAAATGTTTTATAGTTTGTTTTTGTTTCTTTAAACAATGTTTTATAGAGTTAGAGCTGCCGGTTTTTAGCCATGTTCTCACAACCACACTGCTTCCGCATCCCACACTCACAGTGTGGACCAAGAGCTGATCAATGACACTCCTGCCATCTAGTGGTGATTTGTCATGCTGAAATAATTCCCACAGCCTTCTGACTAAATTACTGTATAGGGTTTTTTGCAAACGTATTTTTACGTTTCGGCATTAAATGAAATATTAAGAACTTTGTTAAATTGTATTTTTGAGGGGGGTTGTTCACGTTTATACAAAAACAGGATAATTCGCCACTTGGTTCCCTCGAATGGTTGAAAAGGACCATATTTAAGACAGTGTTGTGAAATACTGTATATTATCTTTAACTACAACAGGGCGTCTGGGTATTGCTTTATAAATGGGAAAGCTGAATAGAATACTTCCGCAATTCTAGAAACAAATACAGCACTTTCGTTCAGGAAAAAAAAAAGTACCCCTCACCAAAACAAAACACACCCACCTTTTACCCTAGCTTAGAAAATGCCCAAAGTCCAGGAGAACGTAGAAAATATTAAAAATAAGAATAATAAGTTCACTTTTGGCACAAATCCATTAGTTTCCAAAACAAATCCATCTACTACAGACGTTTGAAGATTGACAACTTTTAATCAGGCGCTATTAAGTAATACGTCCGTCGTGATGTGTGCGTTTGTGTTCCATTTCGTATTTGAGAATATATACAGAGCACATCTTGGGGTAAAAGGCAGTGCTGTTAATGTCCTGACTCGGGGATTCGCTTATAAAAGAGCAAGTAGGGTGTTGAAGAGGAGCAGGTCTGAGGGGAGCAGGCTTGAATGAAATCTTCCTCCTTGACCAAATGCACTTCTGAGTCATCGAACAGCAGCCATTTGCCTTCGTATTCGAGGAGGTGTTTTAAAGCCTGCTGTTCCGAGGCCTCCTCTTCCTCACGGGAAGTTGTCCCTCTCTCCTCTCCAGCCTCCGCCTCCTTTTTCAGCTCGACTTTTGCATGTCGTAGAGTTTTTCTTTGCTCTGATTCGTCTTTCATCCCACCACTGGTCACTCTCTCTTCGTGCTCGACGTCGGGCTGACTCCGTTGGCCACCCAAGAGTCCGACCCCGCCCTCCGGACGCTTCTTACTTCCTGGTTTGCCACAAGCAAAGCTCGAGGCAGGTTGCTGGCTCGCATCTCGCCTGACGGAGACCTCACCATCATCGTAGTCCGGCACTACTTCTTTGGAGCCGTTTTGCTGCTCCCTTTCGCACAGCCAGAATTTGGCATCCTTGAGGCCACTCATGCGGACGTAGGCAGTGTAGTGGCCGCTGCCGATAGACACGCCGCTGTGCATGACCACGGCAAAGAGCTCGTAGTTGTGGCCTTTTCTGGACGAGCGTGGTGTGCACCACTCCTCCAGAGACAAAGTCAAGGGCGTCTGCAAGGGTGTGTTCACCTTGGAAAGACCGGCGTACGGGTCCATTCTAGAAAAAGGGAACATATGTTCATGATGTTCATGAGAAACGCGGCTCAAAGCGAGGAAGGTATTGACCGGTAAAGTGACTCACTCCGAACTGCTGGCGGAGAAGCGCTTCAAGTGAATGGTGACGACTTCGGGTGTTTTGTCAAAAAGAAGACTCCTCTCGGCCTCTGCGTAATGGCGACACGTGTCGCAGAAGTACTTGTCCTCTCCAGAAATGCGCTCCACCGACGCAAACTGCCCAATGGCCCATTTCAGGGTCTTCTCTGGTTTTGGGTATGGAGAAACTGGAGACAGAACATTTTGGTTTGATTTTTTTTCCAATTCATGAGTTAATCATTTGTTCACTTCATGTGTCTGAAGCCAAAAGAGTTCACAAAACAGGTCAGTCTTCTGACCGGTGGAGCTCTTATGTGCGTCTTGCTGATCTCGAGTAGACCACTACTGCTGCTGTACGAATAGAAGCCCGTTTCAGACTGTGGCCCTCCCGTTACCACTCAGTGGAAATGCTATGTATCCCTGCCGTGATTTCTTCTAACCTGAAGAGCGATCCTCCAAGCTGCTGGGTTGCTCCTCCTGCACGGGGACACTGATGTCCTGGAAGTCCTCTCGCCTCTCACTGAAGCTTTCACACTCCAGACAACGAGTCCGTAGAACCAGCTGGCCATGGAACAAGTGCTCCATCAGGTCTAGGCCGTCTGCAAAGCCAGAAACATAAACATTCATTATTGTACGTGCGAGTGTATCAATCTCAGCAATTTAAGTAGGAGACCGTTTATTTTCGGTACAACAAACCATGCGATTTGAGGGGGACAGGGACTGAGCCGTGCAACAACCTGAAAGTAACTGATCCCCCCCCTCCCCCCCTTCAAAAAAGGGTTTGAAAAATGTAAAAGTTTTAACTGTACATTAATACCCCACAAACGACATATTTCCAAGCTCACCTTACATTAGCCTTTAAAAAAAATCTTGAGGATTTGATTTTGAAAGGAGTTACGTCCAACAACCCAGGTTGAACATGGCTACTATTCTTTTATTTTGTGTTAGGCTGAGCTTCTTGAATTGAAGTGCAATAAACTGCAACGTGTTGCTGGAAAAAAAAAAAAAATCACCTTTTCATGTATGTCCTATATTGCTACAAGAAAGCAACACGTTGCAGTTTATTGCACTTCAATTCAAAAAGTGAAACTCGTTCAATGAAATCGTGAATTTGGCGCTTTTGTTGGCTGTAGGCTATAATCATCCAAATTAGATTTAAGAAATAATTTCACTCTGTATGTAGTCAATCTGTAAAATCTGGGTCTCGTTTTATGAACTGAACAAAGTTTCCGCAATCTTCTCATTTGGAGATGAATTTGAAGTTCTGCGGAACTGTACTTGAAAATCCTTCATGTCCTACCCTGATGAGGTGGCGCCTTTTGGACTCCGTTCCCATTTGGAAAGATGACACTCTCACTTTTCTTCTCATCTTTCGTTTGGCCTTCGTCAGCTCCAACGTTCCCTTGCTCCGCTTTCGTTGAGATTTTGGCAAATGTAGAGGTGAGCTTCCCGACGGTGCGAAACATGGACATGATGCTTGGCTGTTTCTCAGCGGGCCTCAGCCAGCCCAGTTTACAGCGTTTCTTCTTTCTCCCATCAGCCTCTTTGAAGGTTTTCTCATCATCGTTGGCCCCTTCTTCTTCCACCTTCTTGGTCTCATCCTTCTCTTCAGCTTTGTCCTTGGTGTTTTCCACAGCGTTATCACGAAATGACTTACTTTTGGAGCGCGTGACCGGTGCGCTCAACAGTTGCTCCTCCTCCACTCCAGATTCTCCAGACTTGGGCTTTTTTTTGGCATTTCCCATCTCGGTGTCGCTTTTCCTTTTTCCAGGCACCTGGCCATCCTCGTTGATGTCTCTTTGGGATTCTGACCCCCAACTGCTGTCATGTTCCACTTGGACCTCGGTCACAATGGCCTCCTGCTTTTTATCCTTCCTAATAGTCTTGCAGGCCTCCTGTATATAAACCAAGATGCACTGCAGAACCTCTTGGGCATCATGCTGAAAATAGCCTTCATACATCGGGTTCAGTTGCCTGCAACACACCCGAAGCATAAAAACTCTTCATGTGTCAAACTTACTCTTCGATGTGACAATGAATCTCAAATAATCAAGCAAAATCAAGACTGCGTCTTCCAATATACATTCACCCAACTTAAGAGTATTTGTACATTTTCCATTCATGAAGTAAATCGGTTGATTGCAAAGCTTACTTCAAAGCAAAATTCAGACCGGGTGTATTACAGCTTAATATTTTCAACAAAGGGATTAACCTGAGTGTTTTAAGAACCTCACGAGGCGACGTGTCCAGCTCTCGCTCGCTGAAGCTGTCGGTGTTGAGCAGAAAGTCGGACTGCAGCTGCTCCACGGACCTTATCAGACTGTGGAAGCTCGCGAGGAGCTCGATGTGTGCCGGGAAGGACTCGGGAGTATCCCCTGCTTGCTATCAACAAAATTGAAGGATATAAGTATGCTGGAGACAAGAGTTGTCTGAAGGGGGAAAAAAGTGTGCTGACCTCTTCAGATTGTTTTGTTTCTTCAGTGGGTTTAGCGTTGCTTTTAGACAATTTGTACAAGGA